ATTATATATTTATATACAGTTAATGCATTATATAAACAGTAATATATCTATTTTTTTATTTACATTGTATTTTTAAGGGGAAAAAATTAATTACGATAAACTTTTGTTTAATTATTAATTTGATTTTTGTTGTTGATTGATTGATTGATTGAAAACTATTTTATATATAAACTGTAGATTATCTACATTACGCTGAATGCTTTAAAAACGTATCGACATCTCAACAAAAATGTGCGCCAATATTGGATAAAGTGAAGAATATGTCAATTGATCCGCAATTGACATCAGACATGGAGGCAGAGCTTAAAAAGTTTTGCTGGTATTATATATATATATATATTTTTTTCACAAACAAATTTTGATAACAAAAAATTTATTTTTATCAATTAATTTATGCAATTAGTTTAATAAATTTTTGAACAACAAATAAGACAAATATATAATAACATAAGTATATGAATGAATATATATACAGTATATATATGACTATTGATTTTTATTAGGTAGTTGAAACTTAATGTCACAATTTAATTGCATTTATAAATTTAAAAAAATTGTTTTATAATAGTTTTTGATAGAAAAAATTTAAGTCACAAATAATTATTAATTTAAAGTTTTTTTTAATTAACAACAATTAACAATTGAGTTAATCGTAAGTTTTAAATCATTATTGTTTTTATTTTAGAAAATTAGTATTCAATAGTTATTAATGACAATACTATATAGTTTTTTTTAAAAAAATTATAAAATAAAAATAATATCAGTGTAAAAATATTATCTCATTATTAAACAACACTTATTAATATATTTTACAAATAAGTAATTTATAATTTAATTTCTCTAATTTTTTGAACAACAAATAATTTTCTACTGGCTGTCTATAATATAGATTTGTTCCTAATTTTGTAGCGCATTTCAAGAGTCAGTCGACTGTCAAATTGATTTTGTCGGTCGCGATTGTGGCCAAAAAGCGGTAAACTTTTTTGAAACATATCTCAAACAGATATCGTCATCACTGATGCATCAACACTGTATATCCTATACATACTCTGGTAGCTGTAGGCCTAAAATTATTGATAGCTTAAATAATAAGTCAACAACAATACTAACTAAATATACAATGTTTTATTATTATTATTATTATTTGTTAACAATAGTGACTATCATATTCATTAACAATCATTTTATTAATTAATTTAAAAAAAAATTATGTTTTATATGTTTGTTTTTTTTTGTTGATAATTAATTTTTGTCGAAAATGTATTTATCATTTTTTTTTAAATGTGTAAATCTGTAAATATTTTCTAATAATAATAATAATAAAACTTACAAATAAAACAAGTTTGTTTATATATATTTTTGATAGCTTAAATAATAAGTCAACAACAATACTAACTAAATATACAATGTTTTATTATTATTATTATTTGTTAACAATAGTGACTATCATATTCATCAACAATCATTTTATTAATTAATTTTTGAAAAATATGTTGTACATGTTTGTTTGATAATTAATTTTACACAATTTTTGTCAAAATTTATTTATCATTTTTAAATGAGTAAATCTGTAAATATTTTCTAATAAAATAATAATAAAACTTACAAATAAAACAATTTTGTTTATATATATATATATAAATAATACTATCTTATAGATATATATATATCGGTATATACTACTTGTATATTGATATATCAATAATAATAATAAAAATATTGTATATTCAAAAATATTTTTAGCAATACAGGCAATAATAATAATATTAAATATTTATTGATCTCAACAATAATTTAATAATATACACAAAAAATGCTATTTTTTAAAGTTATTTTTATTATTACATATTATTCATATCACGATTTTTTTATATATATGCAAAATAATATAATAATATTATTATGAATTTTGCATTTCATCAAAACTTCACACATTTTTTTCAAAAAAAAAAAATTTATTTCATTGTCAAATCTAATAAATATATATATTTTTTAAAAAAATGTGATAGCAGTTTACTAAGTGTTAGATAAACATTATATTTTTATTATATTTATTTTAAATCAACTTAGACAGGAAAAAAATTATGTCATCGATATTATTATTATTATTTGATTTGATTATGAATTTAATATATATTTTCCAACAAATAAATAAAATTAGTCAAACAAACAAAAAATTATAATATAAATTAATTGGTTTTTAAAAATGTTAACCAACTAACAAAAAAAATGATATTAATTATACATTGATGACAAAGTTATGTCAATATAAACTTTATATATATAAACTTAAATTAGTATTTTATTTTTTGGTTAGTATTAATAATTTAAATTTATTGTCAAAATTTTTTAAAGTTATATATAAAATATATTATATATATATATATATATATATATATATAGGTCAAGAAAAAAGATAACAGAGTAGTACTCGTATTAATACAAACTATTGCATTATTATTACTACATTACTATTATTATTATAACTTTAGTATAACATTATTTTGGTTTATACTTTTGTATCAAAAAATAAAAAAAATACAAAAAAAAGTTATGGCACTGGATATGCAATGGCATTGTCTCTGATTTGTAGACCATTTAGTAGAGGAGACATTACAAGCATTTCCAACAACAACCAAATAAATTCAGTGTTTTTCTTGGGGGGGGACTGTCCTCTTGAGAACAATTTGTTTGACAATTACTATTGCTCTTCGGGGACATTAGTCCAATAAAATGCACAGCCATTCAACTATCAAAAAAAAAAATAATATAATACAATACTAGACTGTATAGACTAAATGCCTAAACCATTTCTACACTAATATACTGTATATACAGTATATACTGTATATATACCTATACTTTAGATTTTTTTTTATTTGGTAACTAAAAGAATCGCCAAATAATAATAAATGTAAATAAACTAAACTAAAAGTCTATCACCAAAATTGGTGGTCACTTAAGTGTGAACAGTGTTTATATATATATATATATATACGATATATATATATAAACACCTAATCATACAGATAATTGATGTATGAAAGGGTATAAGTTATACAACAGTAGTATAATTGCTACTAAACTAAACACTTGAAACATTAATACATTGTTGTTGGTTTGAAAATTACATAATAAACAAACAAATTAAACATTTTTACTTTTTTTCTCACATTTTTATACCTATTATACATTAAATAGAGTAATATATATATATATATATATATATATATATATATATATATATATATATATATAATTGACCTCTAATTTCTCTTTTATAGTTATAGTTATTATTTTTTTATATAAACCGATACATTTTTTTCCCCAACATATTCTGTGTTTTATTATTATTAGTAATAATATTAACTATAAGTTTTGACTTATAATATTTGAATGAAAATTATAATTGTAAAAATTGAGTAATAATAATAAAAACTAATTATTAATATTATAGTAAATTTTTCGTATAGAATTTATGACAAAAATAAATAATAATAATTAATTCAAACTATGATAACAACTACTGTATAGTATTTTATTTAAAACATAAACTCAATTAATAATACAGTACTATATATCCAATAAAAGCGATTATTCTTAACATACAGTATAACATATTGTAATAGCATTTAGTATTTTGGATGGCATTATAAACGATCACAAAAATAGTTTTATACTATTAATATATTTTTTTGTTTGTTTGTTTGTTTCTCATTAACTAATATTTCAATTAAATTATATACAATATAACTAATAATAATAATTACAATAGTAATTGACATTACAATTATCAACAAAAAAAAATCATTTTCATACAAATCAATCTACAAATTAAAAAAGATTTTTTTTGTTATATAAAAAAAAAGTAAAATAATTAATTAACTAATGATTGATTGATTGATTGATTGAATAACTATTAACAACAATAATAATAACACCAATGAATTGATTGATTGATTTATTTTTGGTTTGAATTACTGTGAGTCCCACCAGTCGTGTACTTCGCCGACAATCAGATGAGCCTTCGGCTGAATCAATGAATTCATTTTCGTATTCTTCAGCAAACTGTTCTGTTCGGTATCGCTGTCCTCGCGTTCGGATACTAGCGGTAAAAGTCGTGACCGAATTTCGTTCGGCGCCAACAAGACTTTACGACCCGACGAGTTCATCGAATCGGTACGGGTGGCCACTTTGAAGGCATTGGGTGTACCGCCGGTCATTGCTAAGGCATCTTCGGCATCGGCCAGTGTTCCGACGTTCAGCGGCAGTAGCGGTTCGTTTTGTGCCCGAAGCGAATGTAGCAGCGATTGGTGTTGTTTTTCTTTTTTGATCCGCCGAAGACATTTGTCGAGCCACGAACGTATCGTTGCTTTTGCTACCTCTTCCTCGATCAAAAACTCCAGTTCCTCTCGAGCTATATATATATATATACAGAGAGGACAGAGAGAGACAGAGAGAGACAGAGAGAGACAGAGAGAGACAGAGAGAGACAGAGAGAGACAGAGAGAGACAGAGAGAGACAGAGAGAGACAGAGAGAGACAGAGAGAGACAGAGAGAGACAGAGAGAGACAGAGAGAGACAGAGAGAGAAAGAGAGAGAACAGAGAGAACAGATAAAAGCAGACATTATTTGGTGATAAAAATGAATTTCATTCGTAAGTTTTTATTGTTGTTGTCAGCTATATATACATACCAAGCAATTCCTCCAGTTGTAAGGATTTCCTTATATCTACCGATCGATAGGACAACATATTGAGGACATCGTGAAAGGTTACATCTTCGCCGTTGTGCAGCCGTTCCATTTCGTGACACATATGTTTGAATAGTAGCCGATCTTTGTTGGGATCAACTTCCAGCCGACCTTTGAGCAGCCGTAGGACAAACCGGACTCTCGATACGGGAATCATTCCCCGTTGGGATAGGTCGACCAAATTCCAGGTATTCTGAAAGTTACGGATATCGGCGTAGGACAGGAGGGCGTCCTCTTCGTTGGAGTAAAATAGGGAAAAGTTTTCCATAATAATGGCCACCAATAGATTCAATACGATATAAGTGATGCATACGTAAAACGAACAGAAGAAGGATAGTGAGGCGGAAAAGTTGCCGCAATCGGTTGACCAGTAGTCGTGGCCACGAGTGCAGAACGGTGGCGATAGCATTGCGTCGTGCATTATCTTATTCCAGTCTTCGCCGGTAACTATACGGAACAATGTGATGACACCGTTCGGTGCCGTACGGAAGTTGGCGTGTCGGGAAATGTTTTCGCCAAACTTTACCGAACCGAACAGTATGACACCGGCCAGTGCGTAGCACAGGATCAACAGGAATAGGCCCATTATGATGAAGAACGACTTGTAGACACTGACCGCAACGGTCAACATCAACATCTTGAGTGTGGCGTGTTTGCCAGTGATGGTAAAGAATCGCAGGATTACGACAATAAAACCGAAAGCATTGGACGTTTCGTCCATTAGGATGAAGTGTAGGCCCAGCCAGAAGACACCCAATACAGTGACAAACAGATCGTAACGATTGCGACGCGATTGCCAGTAGCCGCGGGGCGTGAAGGCCATCATTTTCATCAGGACTTCGAATACGAATATACAGGTCAGGCCGGCCGATATGGTGGCCAACGGTATGGTATGTTTTTGTTTCGTATCCCACGATACGCACAACAGCGACGAGTTGGCCAAAACTAACAGCGCAATGGCTCTCTTGAATATAATGTGTTGTGTAATGTCGTAGATGATGGCCCGTGCCTTATGATGGTCTGGTCTATAGATACATACAATAGTATATAGTATGGGAAGTCATATCATATTATGTATTAAAACTATTAAAGATAACTTTCCTTCAACTATATTACTTAAATATAGCATACCTGGGTGGCAAATGTAATGGCTGAGCAATTTTCAATCGCTTTTTCAGATCACACCAACGTCTCTGGTCGACAGTCAACAGTGCCGTACCTTTGTTTTCACCGTAATTGGCAATAACGACACCGACAAACAAGGTCAATCCGATCATACATCCCAAAAATACAAACACATGGATGTATATGGTGTGCAACTATATCAGGTGGGTGTGTGAAAAAAAATTACACATAAGTATATTAAGTGTATTTATCGGTAATTAAAACCACTAAAAAAAACTACAGTACTATCAAAACAACATGCCATAACTACTAGATATTAGTGCAGATAATTGTGCAAAAATATTTATGTATATATAACAGTCTATGTAAGCAACCATCAAAAATATAAATATATAAATATAAAACATTGATTTACAGGAGACAATCGATACAGTAGGACATCCCTGATATCAAGCCATCCCTTGAATGAAAGTACTTCAAACAGGGCTAACATTGCGTTTCCCAGCGAATCAAAGTTAAAGCGACGCGGGTTTGCCCTTAAATAGACAATAGGTTTCAAAATCACAATTAAGGCATTATTATTAGATTATTATTAGATTATTAATTTGCTTATTAAGCATATTATTAAATGATAATATAGAGTCTATAAATTTTATAATATAGAATCTATATTATAGAATAATAATAATTTAATTTTTTTTTAAAAATATTACAATTATATTATTAGTTAATTAAAATATTATTTTATATCAGTTTATATCAAATTAATATTGATTTTTTTTTCTTTTAAAATAGTGCGACAAAAATTTTTGGTTTATTAGTAGTATATATATTAAATATTTATAATTAGTATGAAATTTTTTAGAAATTAATAATAAATAACTAATAATTTACTAATTTAGTGCATCGATTAGTTAGTATATATAAGTTACAATTATAGCTTACAGTGAATTTGTGTTAGTCATATAAAATATATGATTTTTTTAATTTAAAAAAAATAATAATTTCTTTGTTTTTCAACTTACAGGACCTACTCTTTCAACAATAATATCGCGATAATCGCAATATCCCTCCAATGATAATATCTCAAACACTGCTAGCATTGCATCGCCGATTGAATCAAAGTTAAAATTTCGTGGATTAGTCCTATTGTTTTTTTTGTGGATGATTTCATCAATCAATCAATATATTGATTTAATAAAATAGTAGTAAATAAAAAATTATTTTAGTACTAAAATTTAGTTAAAAAATTATTATTATGTGTAGGATTTTTTTTTTGTTTTCAACTTGTTTTTCAATTTGTAATAATAAGTGATTAATTATTATATGTTTTTTTCATAACTAATTTTTTGTTTGTTTGTTAAAACACATACCAAACTCTAGGGACGAGTACGACAGGCATCGAGTCGTTATGGTTTTCCAGTTTCATTCGGGTCACATGTACTGGCCGTTTGAATACACCCACACAGTCCTCCTAATTAAAGACAAACAAACAGTACGGTTAGTATACATGTGCGGCCATAAAAAAATACGATATCTTATTTTTTTTTATACATATAATGGTTTTTACTTAAATATTCAGACACTTAGAGAGCACACCTACCCGTCTGGTAATGTTCAGATCGTTACAACGGGCCAGTAGTCCGCCAAACATATGGACGCCGACCGAAGCGAATACAAATAGGAGGACAATAAGCAAAACGGATACCAATGCTATCTCTTTGAAACCGCGACACAATTCGTAGACAACTTTACGCATATGCGGTACCAACGAAAAGATACGTAACGGCCGAACACATCGCAGGACAAGCAGTGTCTGGATCAGGGACTGTGGCGGTACGTGTTCGGGCATTACGACTATGAAGACCAGCGAAACGCCGAATATAAAGAAGTCCATAATACCGGCCACGTGTGCCAACAGTGCATTGGGCGTAAAAAACAAGCCGTCGGCCAACGTTTTCATCAACAATTCAATGGCCATTGCAATAACAAACACATATTCGGCAATCTTAAGTTCGGGTGTATTATCTACACGTCGGGTAACCGTTTCAAACATCATCGACGCACACGAAGCTGTCGTTACGAATATCATCAGCCAATCACAATACGGAACCAAACCAAACAAATCGTGTAGTCCTTTATATTTCAGTTTACGCTCTTTCCCGGTAATCGGGTCCCTGTTTTTCGGATCGTATTTGGCTGTAATAATTTTCTGACAATATATACGAAACTTGGACTCGCGGCCAACCAGCAGCAGTGGTGTATCGAAAAACGGGTGATTTTCCCGGAGGTCACATTCCCGTTGCGTACGTCTCATTTCGGCCTGTTGTCGCTTACGTTGCAACATTTTAAAATCAAAATCCTGGCCGCGGACAGTCGGTCCGCCACTTTCGCCGCCACCCTCCGGTGCCAGTTCCTCTTTGATATTACCCCTAACCGATCGGCGCATCGATCGGCCATTGACACGTGATAATCCGGCCAACTGGGTGGCCGAATCGCTGACCAGTAAACGTTGATTGTTTGAATCGCAAACAATGGTCGATACGTGAACTCGCCGTAGAAGTGGACTCGATTGTCTGGTTTTCGACGGCGATGTCAACAATCGCAACGGTATCTGCTTCCGGATGGTAACTTCGAGACCGTTTTCGATCAATCGTTTACCGGTTGGCGACTCTTGTATATCATTCAAGTCGACAAAACAGCGCATAAACGAGTCGCGAACTTTCGGTACGGAAAACTCGTTGCAAGCCTTATGGACGCGAGTCATCTGCGGTGAGTCGGGAAACGTCTCGAATACCCGCAATCTTAGCGGTAATTCTTCGTTAATACCCGCCGACTGTTCTCTGGCTTTCAATTGTTTTACTTTTTTAATGTCTTCATCCAATTCCAAGTTATCCAATATGACGGCCACAAACAACGACAACACAATCTATACAATAAAACAACACAAAAAAAATTTAATTAATACTATAATTATTGTCTCAATAAAAAAAATGTATTAAAAAATATATTTTATATGACCAACCAATGAGACAAACAGATGATATAATATAAAATAGACGGCAACTAATGGACCAATACTTCTACTCGATCTCAATATTGTTTCGTTCATTACTTCAGTCCAACCCTCTTGGGTTAGGATCTGAAACATTGCCATAAATGCCTACAAAATTATAATCAAAAAAAAAATTGTAAATATCTAATAAAAGTTATTAATTATATTTATAAAAAAAATGTTTGTTTACTTCAGGAAATGCCTGAAACTTTGTGTATTCATATTTGGCGAGACAGCAGAACAGTTGCATCGATATGGATGACGTGACGATCAGTAGACACATTGTAAATATGATAAGTGATCCCAATTTTTTTCCCGGACCGAAAATTTTGTAAACAAAATCCTCCAAAACTGGTGACGCTTTGATCAGTCTAACTATCCGTAGTACTTGAAAATAGACTAACGGTGCGCTCATATAGAGTATGGGTATGATATGGATAGTCGATCCGATGGACAGTACCAGTTCCAAGATATGAAGTGATCGGCGAATATACGACCGATAGCCGTAGCACCAGATTTTCAGCGCCACTTCCAGATCAAACAATATTGTAAATCCAACTTCCAATGGATACAGAGTCTTATAAAAGTCTTCGCGCGGTCGGCCCGAGTGTTCAAATTTGACACTCGCGCCGACAATAGCGTTGGCCACTATGACAATCATTATGAATATCTGAAACGATGCCGTATTGATGACGGCTTTGATTATACGGGGCGCACGCGATTGGTTGTCGGCATCGGTTAACTGAATCAGACGCCACTGGCTTTCGCCGACCAGTGTCGACGGTGTAGCTTCGGTAGTGATTTTGGCTCTTTCGCCCCACATTTGCTGAAATTGGACACGAATTTCGTTGAACGTCTCGGTAATTACGGCTATGAATACGTTTTTGACCAGCCAGGCCAAAAAGAAGATTAAGGTTACAAAATAAAAGGCTGCTCTGAACGCGTCCAACGAATCCATAGCCGCATACATGACATGACTCCAGCCCTCCTGAGAGGCCGACTGATAGACGGTAAACAAGGCGTGGGCCAAGTTATCGAAACCCGAATAGCCGCTCGAATTGGTTATTTCGACGCAAATCATTTTCGGCGGACACTGATGTCCTCGGGTGGTAATCGGCGAACAGTAGGTATCGGGAATGGCCAACTGTTGTATGGATGGTACATGTTCTTCGGTGTAGTTGTCTTTCATGACACAGTGATGGTCGAGTCGGGCAAAAAATTGGACACCAAGTAAGCCGAACAGTGAGAGGAAGAACAGGAAAAACAGTGTAACGTTATAGATCTGTTGAGATGATCGCAAAAAGATTTGCGTTATGCGGGCCCTGGGCATCGAAAACGATAGGAATACCCGAACCAACCGTACCATTATGAGTGGTCGCGGTGCCCGCAATATCGATGTCGGCGAATATGGCCTGACATGACCAGTCATTTCAAATACGTGTAACGTCAGGGATATGTAGAGACAGACAAGCATAACGGCATCAAACTGTGACCATCGGTCGTGCGAATAGGTCTTCAATCCTCTCAGATGTATCTTCGATATAAACTCAGCGGTAAATACCAGTGTAACAAACGAATCGATAACAAACGTAATGTAAAGCAACGATTTTGCCGATTGAAACGTATAGGATGTGTTCAGTGATACCGATACCAGCGACAGGAAGGCACAGAAACGCATGAATCGTCTCATGTGAACACTTTGCCACCAGAGTGTGGTCGTACGGATACATTCTTCGACTTCGGGAGCAAATGTCTGATCCCTAAGCGATTGTTTGCGACCCAACATTGTTGGTGGTGATGGTGTCACTTATTGGTGTCTAATACTCTGGACAACAATTATTTAAGGTATCAATCACTACCTCATTATATATATATAATACTGTAGAAAAACTACTTAAATAATTTTTAGTATAATCTTTTACATAAATTTGTTTCAATCAAAAAAAAATATAATAAAATATAAACAACAGTATAAATAATATGTTTGTTGTTGGATGTGATGATGCAGTTAGTAGTAGTAGTAGTGATGTTGAAGTGATGTGCCATTGAAGCGCAACATCAGTAGTAGTGATGCTCTCATATATATATATTGTATGTATATATATTGATATATATATATATATATATATATATATATATATATATATATATATAGTATGTATAGACAGACCATCTCTGCGCTAAAACTTATCGATCGCTTAACACAACAAACTCAGCCCAAAAACTCTTCAAACACTCTCCTAATCTCTTTCTCTCTCTCTCTCTCTCTCTCTCTCTCTCTCTCTCTCTCTCTCTCTCTCTCTCTCTTTATATATATATATATATAATTTTAGTGTCAAATGCTTGTGACTTATCATAAAACTAAACAAAAAACAATATTTACATTAATCTTAAGCCTGCGCTTAAAATTAATGTTACCGTATGTTTCAATCAATTAAGAAAAAACTTACTTAAGTAATAATTATCAGAAAAAAAAATAAAATAATTGATTAAATTGTAAAAATATAATTTTTAATAATTAAAATATAATAAACAATTTATATTTATTATCCATAACAAACATGGTCATTGAAGTTATAAAATTATAAAATTTATTAATTTAAAAATTTAAAAATAAAAAATCTATTAAATAAATAACCTAAACTACCGGTGTATATAATTATCTATGCATTCATATAAATACATTAAGAATTTAGTTAATAAATTAGTAATTATTGCATAGTTAATAGTAATATTTTTTAAAAATAATTATCATTATAAATTAAGTTATATTATTTATTAAAAATAATTATCTAAAAAAATCTTGATGGGGGGGGGGGGTTAAACAGCAGTAATTTTATAGCTATTAGTTGATTCAAATATATCAGATTTGTTATTAGTATCGAATGCATCCTAAATGATTAAAATAATTATTATATTTTTTCATTATATGGTAACAAAAATGTTAAATTAAAAATCAATTTTATTTATTTTTGTATTTTTTAAAAACCTTTTGATCGGATGGACAATATGTTTGCTGTTTTTTATTGAATGAAAATATGTATTTAGCGGTCGGCGATAATAGACTGCCATCGATATGATCATCAGGTTTGCCTTTTTTTTTATAAAAAAACAAAATATTATTATTATTATTTCAAATTATACATTATCTAAAAAATTAATTTTTAAAAATATTAAAATTTAGATATAACATACCTATACAGTAACTAAATATTATGGTCACAATCAATGAAATAATTAAACCTATGGCCGACATTAGTAGATATGATATGTGAAATACTCTACCGAAACCACTAGAAAAACAATTTTTTTTAGTATTATTGTAAAATAAAATATATATTAATTTTAAGTATTAATTAAAAGTCATACTCAGGATTATCATAATAAGCAATAAATGATGGTTTTGCTAATTGGTTTGGTTTGATCAGTAACTCCTGGATCAGTTCGGCAGCACAAGAGTCTATAGTTGTGGGCAATGAGACTTTGGGTCGCGGGATAATCAATGAGCCGACCGATAGTACCAAACTAACTGATATACCGCTTATGAAACCAATTAGCGACGCCTAATAATTAATAATAATTATTATTATAAATAATTTTAGTCTACTATTAAGCTAATTGAATATATTTTTTTTGGTATATACCAGTGAAGTTGCTCTGGGATAAAATATGCCAATAATAAACAATGCAAACATTGGTCCCATCATTGAACCGGTCAATGCTAACGATGCCTGCAATACAGTGCCGGCATTTCCCACACCAAACGACATTACAATGGCTAACAGTCCATAAGACATGGCTATTTAATTTAAAAAAAATTAAATAAGATACAGATTAATACAATTTTAAAAAATCAATGACACCCACTACTCTAGCCTACCCCACCCATACCTATTAGCTTAGTTATGTTAAGCGCCTGTCGTTCACTGGTTATTTTGATACGAGGTTTGACTATGTCCTCCCAGGTTATGGCAGCCAATGCATTAAAACCAGATGATAATGTACTAATTTTTTTAATTTATTAGATAATTTATATTACAAAATGTGGGGTTTTTTTTAACTACCTGAGCGATCCACTGAATACACAAGCAACAAATAGACCGGGTAGTCCCGGATATTTCGATAGCGTATCCATTACAAAGTAGGGCATCAGTTGGTCGTGTCGTTCAATAATACCCAGAGTAATTGGATCGCATGCATGATATTTGGCATATATAACCATTCCGCATAGTATGGCCAGTATGGCCAATATTAGTAGCCCGGGTAGGTTCCAGTATAGAGTTCTGATATTGATTGATAGATATATATATATAGATAATATAGCTAAATACTAATAATAATACCGTTTGGCTTTAGCAGCTGATCCCATACTACAGTATCTCTGGACCTGAGTTTGTGTAACACAATAGGCAGCACTCCATGTGATGGTCGTACCGATTACCACATTCCAGAAGTTGTCGTGATTGTAGGGATCAAATCGCATACTAAATCAATTAATTAAACAATTAGTTATTGTTATTATTATGTAATAGAAATTATTTGCATATATACTGTATATATATATATATATATATATATATATATGAATGAATTATAAAAGTAGTAGTATATTAATGTAAAATACAAATTAAACTATTAATGGCTACTAATATAATGATATTATTTAAAAAGATTTTTTCAAACAAAAATTGTTTATTATATTATATTAATTAAATAATTTAATTAATTACTTAAAAAATTTTAGACGATCGCCCCTTTCATTGATATTCCACACTTCGGCTACTCCGCCGACTTCAATGACACCCTTTTTTTAAAAAATAAAAATATATATAATAATTATATTTATTATTAAACAAAAATCAAAATCATAGTTACTATTTAGTTATTAAACTTTAAATATAATAATAATAATAATAATGAAGGGATAAAAAAAATTAAAATAAATTTTAATGTTAAAAAAAACATTTATTTCTAAACTATGGGATTAGTGATCACATTATTACAGATAATTAAATTAAAGTTACAGTTGTTTATATATATATATATATATATATGTTAGTAAATGCTATAAAATATATTTCTAGAAATAGCTATTAATATTAAACCACATATTATATTATGTTATTTCCTGGATGTAATAGACAATTAATATTATATATATATATATATATATTATATTTTAAAAATTCATATTAAAAATATTTAAATTTTGATAGACATTTGCAATAGTTATTTTTATGTAGAAAAATATTTCTACAATAATTAATAATTATTACTTGAATAATGACCATGATGACACCCAAAAACATTAGTATACATTGTAAAACATCTGTCCAAATAACTGCTTTAATACCACCCTTGAGTGACAAACAAAAAAATTTATAATTAATAATTTTAATTTAAAATATTAATAATAATGATAACTAAATTTTTTTAAAAAAAAAGTTAATGATAATGTTTAATTGGCCCTAATAGTTGAGTTAAATATTAAATTTATTTTTAAATAAAATTTTTTTTATACTTGTAAATATAATAATGAATAATATATAAAATTATTTGTTTATATTATATAAATATAATTATAATATACCTAGATAATGCCAATTAAAAGTTTAAATTTGAGTTATATCGTGTACAGTTTAACTTTACTATAATCAAGGTAACTTAATATATACAGTTACATTATATTAGGTAAGTTATACAGTACCTTAAACTAAATCATTACATAATATTACACAAATTTAAACTTTTAAGTGGCATTATCTGTATATATGTATTAGAATATAATGTAATATAATTTTTAAAATAATTTTTTTTTAAATATTTTTTGTTTTATTTTTGTTTAGTTTGAATAATACATACAATTGTTGTATAGAAAGTACAGATAACTCCAACCACTAAAATAGATGTTGGAATTGATAGAGGAGTTACTAAAATCAGGTGATAATCAACAAAAAATTATAGCATATATTAATTTTTTATTATATAAATAAAGTTATTTTCAATTAAAAAAAATTTAAAATACCTGAACTCAAGGCTAGTGCCGGACCGTACAACACAACTGCCATATATGGTGTCTAAATAAATATATTTTTTATTAAAAAAAATTAATAATTAATTATCATTTTAACTATACTATTGTATATTAAAGTATATCTAAAAGTTTAACACTAGTGTAATAATAATAATAAATATTTTATTTTTAAATTATTATTTATAATGTATATAAATTTTTTAAAAATTAATAATTAATTATCATTTTAATTATATACTATTGTATATTAAAGTATATAAAAGTTTAACACTACTGTAGTAATAATAATAATAATAATAAATATTTTATTTTTAAATAATTATTTATAATATATATAATTTTTTTTAATTAATAATTAATTATCATTTTAACTACAGTATTGTACAATATATTAAAATATATAAAAGTTTAACACTACTATAGTAGTAATAATAATAAATATTTTATTTTTTAAATAATTATAAATTTTAATATATTAATACTTATATATTAAAACTGTTTTATGTCTACCCATAATTACAGTACATAAAAGTTATATATATATATGATTATTGATGACAGGTTTATTGATATTTAATTAAATATAAATACCAATACAAAAAAAATTAATTAATTAATTAATTATTTTATTGTACGTACAGTTGATAAGAGAAAGCCGACGGTTCCGGCCATACGAATATAGGGGGCATTAAATCTTTTGGCCAAATACTGGTCAACAACAATGACAACAACAACAAAAAGTATATATAAAAAATATCATTCAATTATAAGTTTACATTTAAAAAAAATCAATTAAATATAAATACTACTAATTTTTTAATAAACACCTCATTGACACTCAATAGAGCCATTCGGTAATAGATTGGCATAAATACTTCGGCGGCCAACACAACGGCCACAACAATGCCGATTAGTTGCAATGAAAACTGTGTACCCACTTGATAGACCTCGGCTGGCAGACCCAGCAGTGTATTGGTGGACATAAAACTGGCCACCAGCGACATGGTTACCGGGAATAGACCCAATTGGCGATTGCCGGTCAAAAATTCGGCATTTGACGGCTTGTTTCGGGATTTAAACCAAAATAATATGCCGATCATCGATGAAGTGATCAACAAAAATGCAAACACAAGATAATCAACAATTGAAAAGTTTGTGTTAACCATATTTTTTTGTTGTTGGTATCACTTATATTATTATTATTATCAATAATTAATAATTTATAGATAATTAAAACACTTTTTTTAGTAGCTATTATTTTTAGTAAAAACTTATTTATTTTTATTTACAAAAAAACTACCGTAATAAAAAATTTTATTATTATTTATTGTTAAAAATATTAGGTCTAATAACTGTTTAAATTATATAATACAACAAAATAATAATAAAAAAAAGTCACTGATCAAATAATAAATAACCCATTAATAATAATAATAATAATAAATTATTGTATTTATAAATAAAATGTTTATAAAATATTTACAACATTTTTTAAATTGAAAGTTAAAAATATCAAATATAAATTATTTAATATAATTTAATATATATATATATATATATTATGAATCAAATTGTTAGTAAATTAATAATACTAATAAATAAATTATTACTACAAAAATATTTATGAACTGAAATGACTTAAATAAAAATAGTTATATAAAAAAAGTTTTTATTTCTAGTGATATCATATAATTATAAAATATTATGTCATAATCTATTTATATTAAAAAAAACATGTGTGTATATTGATGGGGAAAAAATATCATAAGATGATCACATTTTTTAAGTAAAATTTTGATTTTTTTAGTATATATAAAAAACAATATTATAAACATATACAGAAACATATAGTTACCAATAATTTTGATTTTATTTTTAGGTAAACATTTCAAAAAAAAACATTAATGCCAATTAATGATTGACAATTTATTTATATAAATACCACCAAACAGTTATTTATACTTAAATAATATACAATTATAATTTGTTATATTATCATAATTTTATATATATATAATCGTTATTCAAATATTTATAATATACAGTACTATTTATTAATTGCCAGTTATTAGTATGCTGCTAATAATAATATATTAAATATTATAATTTAGTTAATAATAAATTATTTTTATTAAATAATCAAACAAAATTTTTGATTATAATATTAATTAAAATTTAGAAATTATTCTTTTAGTTTTAAAAAACCTTAACTAAATAAAAACCTAAAAAAGTTTAGAAAATATTTAAATTTTGATTAATAAAATTTAAAGTGTATTCAAACTATAGGATATTAATTTGTATACATTACATGATAATACTGGTAAATATTAAGTTTATTTTCTATAATTTTTTTTAAATTATATATCTTTATATGAGTGCAATATTTGACATTTTTTTTGCTGTTGTTTGTTTGTTAGTAGTATTTGTGTTATTGATATGAAATTTATTGATAGTATTGATAATTATATATATATTTATAATTATATTAAAAAAAATACTATCAGTTAATATAATGTTTATGAAGTAAAAGACATCCGTTTTTGTTCATCAATTACCGATTGGGTATACATTAATAATCGGTGTCTTAGTTTCATATTGCGAGCCTTGACGTGTTGGTTGATAATAGCTTCGGTATATTTCGATGGAAACCAACCTCTAAGGCCATCCCTGAGCCGCTCTCCCTCAAACCAGCCTAATAGTTGAATATATATAACATATATATAATACAATTAATAGTTTTAATGTTTGGACATTTAAAAAACTAATTAATTAATTATAATTATAGCAAACCGTCATTCATTTTGCGGAAAACATTCAAAACGTCGGTCTCCTCTAAACTAATTTCGTCGGTTTGTTGGGCACTATAGCTGAGAATACATTGAACTTGAGGACAATCTTGATATTGCAGGGAGAGGACAGTTATGTATGTATGGGTGTGTATGTATGTTTTTTTTAAACATATATAAATAAAAAATAGATAAGCATTTTTTTAAATAGCGAGTAATTGATGGGTCAATTATTATTTTTTAATTAAGGTAGAAATTAAGATAATCAATTAATAAAGTAATAATAATAAATAGATACCCCATTCCTCATATATGACTTCATTGGGATTATCCGATGATGGCTGCGATACGGCTTCAATCCAACGAAGTTTTTCACTCCTATAATCCGGTAATTATTAATCGGTAAATAAAAAATAAATAAATAAATCAAAAATAATATTTACTCCAAATTAAAATTAATAGTATATTCAGCAATTTTATCTTGATGATTTTTCAATAAGATTAGTTGGGCTGGATTTAGATAATTTGGAGGAATAGCCAAACGAAATGCCTGGACATCCCTACCCAGTGGTACTCCTTCACCGCCGCCACCACCGCCAGCGCCGCCATCATTGGCGGCCAATGAGATCAGTTGTACGGTATCTCTGTTACAGTAATCAAATACTGAATAATAGTTTTCGCTAAAAAAATTTTTTTACAAAAAATTATCATTAATACAAAAAAATACTAATATTTTTTTCAAAAAAATAAATAATTATTATCATTAAAAAAACTAAACCTTTTCTTTTTGGCCAAAATTAATAGATCGCTAAACAGATACAAATAGATTGTATTCTTTGACCACTTGAGTGTCGATGACTTTCCGATGGTTTTCTTTGCCGATAATTGTGGCGATAGTCTTGTAACCGAACCTTTCTTAACTAAAAAAATAAAATTAAAAAAATAATAATAATATGATTACCAGTAAGTATGTTAATTAAAAAATAATTTAATTATATATATATATACTAATTAACATTAATAACCTAAATATCTGGTTCCCTTAACAATCGGACAGCTTTTGACTTTGCGGTTAAAATGCAATATCTTTACCGTTTCCATCAGTTCCTGCATTCGCTGTACTTTTTTTGTCTCATCGTTACACTTGCGGACCAATTGATTCATAATACCCAACGATTTCTGGGCGGTCGGCAATAGCGGACTAGTTTCGGGCAATTGCTGACAGACGGCATCAATTAGTAATGGATACCGAGTTATGCGCTGAAGATATATATAAAATGAAAATTACCGGTAAATAGTATAATAAAAATAAAATATCAACTTATTAGAGATATAAGTAATCAAATCAATCAATCAAAAAATAAAAAAATAAATATAAGATAATAATTGATTTGATTGATTGATGTCAACTAATCAAACTGATATAATTTAATAACTACTGTACACACTGTGTATGTGTAGTATATACTGTACTAAACATACACATACACATACACATACACATACACATACACATACACATACACATACACATACACATACACATACACATACACATACACATACACATACACATACACATACACATACACATACACATACACATACACATACACATACACATACACATACACATACACATACACATACACATACACATACACATACACATACACATACACATACACATACACATACACATACACATACACATACACATACACATACACAAAATAAACATCTAAATGATTACCTGCATCGGTAGCATTAGAAACGATAGTAAGGCCTGATTCTGACAGATCTGATTGGATTCAAGTCGTTGAAGTACATCAAGAAACTGAGGCCTCGATTGTGTCAACTGAGTCAACAGTTTTTCCTGATCTCTCTGATAGGCGCAGTAGTGGATGTATGGCTGGAAGTGATTGACAGCGTAATCGCATAGTATATCGCATATATCGTAGAGAAGTACGTTCTGTTGGAACCGTTTCTCCAGTTCGGCCAACAGCTGACAACTGGTTTTACTAATGTCCAGTATATTTGAAAATAACGATTTTTTTTCAATCGGATTCAATATTTGCTGATAACTATTGCCACTAAATTCCAGACAATTATGAAAATGTTTAACCAATATATTGATCGACTTATAATAGGAGGCCTCCGATGAGATAATCTCAAACATAGCTTCTTGTAAACGTTTTTCCTGATCGGATAGTCTGGATAGTAGATTATCACTTGAATTAATTACTTGCGGTAAATGACACCACAGTGTCCGATTCGGGCCATTGCCAACAAAATCCATGGCCGATATATTACGTTTGAGTAGCATGGATTTGATTGGTTCATTTTTGCCGCTACCGCCATTGCCGCCGCTGCGGCCACTCCAGCCACCACCGGTACAGCCATCGCCGGTATCGTAGGCCGTCGATGACGAATAGATTTCGTATTCATCGTAATCCGATTGACTCGTATGGCTGTTCGGTTCAAAACTTTTCCACAGTTCGGCCCGACGGCGGACATCCTTTTGATAGAATTGATATAACGGTTCGCTACTCAATGGCGACCAGTTCCAGTTGTTGCTGCTGCTGCTGCTGCTGCTGATGCTGTTATCATCATCACCACCAACACCTGATGGACAATAATCTATAAGATTATTGTCAAACTCAAGATAGCTGGCAATACTGGCCACCATTGATGTATGTTTTTGGATCAATTCCGAACGCATTGTTGGTGACATTGTTGTTGGCGATGGCGATGATGATGGCGATGGTATTTGATTAAATTGATTCAATGAATTAATTGGCTTAAGTTTGTATTGATTATTCTGATTTCGTCTATTGATTATAAAATTATTATTATTAGTATTAGTATTATCATTATCATCGTTGGCTTGACTATAGTTGGGACTGATATAGATGGATGAGTTTCTGTTGCTGGCAATGGTTAATCGTTTATCATTAAATTTTTCCCTAATCTCACTGTTGATGGCATCTATCGACTTGGAGACAGCAATAGCTGTCTTTGAATCTAATCGACTAGTAATTGTTGGATCAGTTTTTGTCATCATCTGATTTGGTAGTCTTCGCGGTGTCGCTGTATATATGTTTGGTTCGCACGATGTTTCCAAACGAATATCATTATATAATTCATTACCAGTTGTTGTTGTAGTTGTTGTTGTCTTATCGCATTCATCGATGGTTTTATTGCCATCGATGGTAGTACTGGTGGTGATAGTAGTTTTGCTATCCAAGAGTCTAAGCGATAGTTCTCTAACTAATTTGTTTTGCAAATCCGTACAACTTTTTCGATCATTGTTTACCATTAAAATATTATTATCAATCATTGCTTCTTCATAGATATGATCACTTAATCGTTGATCACTACTAATAGGTCTCAGCTGAGACTCGTCGTTGTTTTTATTCAAAGAAACCAAACTAACCATTGATTTATCACTAATTTCTGAAGACATATGTTGTTTAATACTAATCTTTTCATTGTTGTGGTCATCATCATCATCATCGATGTCTTCATATTCTGTGGCACTATCACTGCCATCACTATAGACGACATTTATCATCGATGGTCTTCTACTACTTCTTCTCTTATTATTATTATTATTATTATTATGAATTTGATTTGTCTTTGGTTTGAATGATAGTCTACTCTTGTAATTGTTATTAGCTTTTAGATGAGATCTTCTGTTAAGAATCACTTCTATTCGGATCTTTTGCTGATCATTAGTCTCGATATCGATCCAATCGTTTGATGTGCGCGACTGTCGGCTCGATTGATAATGGCCTAACTCTTCGTATATATGGTCATCATATATGGACATATCATCATTACCATCATCGCCACCGCCATCATCATCATCACCATCAAGTTGTTTCTCGTGATTACCATCTATTGATGAATCGTTAGTCCTATTTGTCTGACAATCTGTTATTAGATTATTAGAACAGTTGGTCTGATGTAGAAATGACGAGTTATTACTACTAGTATTTGTGGTAAAACTGTCGACAATACCGCTGTCTTGACTCAGAGATGACGATCGTTTGACATCTGGTTTCAAATTGCCATTCTTTGACAAGGATTCTTCGTTAATCAATTGATGGCTATTATTATTATTGAAAAAATCGGTAAAATCTTTTTGACAAACTCTTTTGATTCGTTCATCTTTTCTACCGATTAATGTCCTCTGTTTGGGAACCGGTCTGTCGTTTATGATATCATTTTTATTACTAATAAGATGTTTGCTATCGGCTCTTCTGAAGACAATATGTAGCGGCGATTGGCTATCGGTAGTAGCGATCAAATTGTCTGATGATTGGTGAATATCTATCACCGAATCGGTACAACAGTCGCTAACGTAGCCATCAGTTGGCAATTGATTTTGATTATCATTATCACAATTAGTATTACTATTTTTGTTGTTATCATCATCTAATTGATGACAACAGTCAATAATATCGGTATTCAATGATCTAACCAAACATTTTGGATCAACTACTGTATGATCAATCAGTTGACATGAATCAACATTTATTGTATTAACAACTATTGCTTGACTATTATTATTACCGGTAGTAGTATTTTCATCAACTAATTGCTGTTTTCTATTAGTTGTTTCTACAGTTGTTTCATTAGTTTTCCTAATAAATTGTTTTTTAAACAACTCATTACTGGGTGATTGAGATTTATCTTCAAAAAAACTGATTTTATTTCTTATTGAAGACAAATCTTTAGTAGCAGTAGTAGTCTTAGTGGTGGTGACTATAACAGATGATGATGGATGTGCTGGTGATGAGTAGTGATCTACTATTTGTGGTAAAACACTAGCAGTCGATGAACATAATAATAAGTCCGGTTGTCTGATCGATGATGAGATGTGACTTAATTTATTACTAGTAGTAGTAGTAGTAGTAGTAGTAGTAGTAGTATTGATATTACTTTCATTAATAACTTCAAGTATTGGATCACCAATTGGATCACCAATTGGTTTAAAATTATTATTATTCACAGATGATAATAATAATGTCTTACGTTTGATATCACTTAAATTAACAGTAATATTAACAACACTATTATTATTGTTGTGATGACTTTCAAATTGTTGCCGAACTTTTTGAAAGCTAACTTTCCGTCTAATACTAGACCTATAGGGAGTAGTATTACCGGTAGTAGTAGTAGTGGTGGTGGTAGTAATACCCGATGACTTTGATCTGCTTCTGCTGAATGAGATTTGCTGATCCATTGTTTGTTTGTTATTTCAATGGACACCCATTAAAAGGACATTTAGTTATAGGTTTTTTTTTGTTTGTTTCATTGATAACTAAAAACAAAGTCATAAAAAAATTTATATATTTTTTAAAAATATAATTGAAACAAATGGTGTCTATTATGAATAAGCCGTTTTTTCATAGGGTTGGTCGAGTCGCCAACGCATACACATACAGTAATATTTTTTGATTAGTTTTCTATTTAATTATATTAATATAATGTAATATTTTATTTGTTGTAATCACTAATTGTAACCAAAGACAACTAATTATTATTATTATTATTACACATAATAATACTATACACTAACAGGTATATTACTGGTAGGTTAGGTTGCGATAAGATTATTTGATAAGTTTTTTTTTGATTGCTTTATTGCCAATCAAAAAAACAAACATATAATAAATTACATTACAATCATAACATTTTTTTTAAAAAAGGTATTATACTGTACTTTATAGCAATTTAGTTGATATGTATGTTTGTATAATAATAATAATACTAATAATATCTATTACATGATTAATATGAAAAAAAATTCCTTAAATTATTGCATTTCATTGCTATTTACTATACAAGTGTATGATATGTTTAATTATCAATTATTTTTAATTTTTAAATATACAGTACCGGCTATAAGTTAATGATGATAATTAATAAAATTTTAATTTTTATATAAATAATATTTTCTATAAAAATAATAATGAAAATTATAATACATTTATTGTATGCTTAAAACAAATAATTTAAACAAACTTTTATTTAAAAAATAACATAACTTTAATAATAATAATGATAATAAATTATTTTTATTATTATGATAATTAAAAAAATATATATTAGCTACATAATTTTACAATATTACAATAGCACTGTAGATATTATTTAATGATTATTATTTTTAATAAGCTATAGCAATAAATAATTTACAAGTTTAGATAATTAAAATAAATTTTATTTTCTTTAAATAAATAAACTAATACTTGTCATAATATAATAAAAAAACTAAAATAAAATAATACTTTATATTATATTATATATATATACAGTATATGCTATAATTTGCTAGATATTTGAATTAAGATTGATTTGATTGAAAACAAAATTGTTTGGCCAGAGCTATGGATAGCGGTACGGGAACGGCATTACCTATTTGTCTATATTTGTCGCCAACAGTACCGACAAAAACAAAACTATCGGGAAATCCTTGAGAACGGGCCGACTCTCTGATAGTTATAATTCGGTTGCGATTCGGATGCAAAACACGTCCCTGTTTTGATATAGGTTCCGGATTGGTTACTGTGGTAGCAAAATAGCCCCGATAGGTTAGCCGGCCGTACAGCCCGGACCATTGATACTGTCGATTGGCTGTATGAACCAGACACCACGGTATCAATGTGTTGTCCTGTTTGGATTCAATTGAATTACACGGCAATCCTGCGGAACACTGGCAAACACCGCGACAATTACCAGAACTAGATCTACCATTCTTGATATCTTCGTATAAATATTGAAGTTTTTCGATAACCAAACCATTATCTAATATTACGCTAATATTAGGCAAATCTCTCCAATCGCTGCCAAACCGATGAGGAATATTCTCGATTCTCAATCGACTTAATTGACTAATTTCTTTGCAATAATGATCTCTCAATGTATTATCGATAACATTGTTTCGCATAATTGATTGATAATGTAATATAGGTTTATCTAAACAGTTATAGTTTAAAATTTTATCAACAGTACACTCTGTGGCAATCAAATCAGGTAAATCACTGATTGAATCTTCGACAGTAATAGTCCTATAGATTGGCAAACATTGGTCATCTTGATGTGCAGCGTATCTCTTATTATCAACTGTTACGGATAGTTGACACTGTCGTTTGGAGAAAGCGTGAGTCGGTTTAGGAAAATGTGGTAACGGATGGCCACTGGAAGCGGCCATTAAGATTGTACGACGCCTTGTCTGCGGTAGACCATAGGATCCGCATTGAAGTATAGCTGACTGACACTGATAGTCCATTCGGATCAGACACGACATCATTAGTTTCATAATCATTGAATTCTTGAATAATGCAAAATTGCGTACGTTTTCAAATAAGACATATTTCGGTCGATAATAGTCAACAAACGATAGAAACGAAACAATTAATGAATTCTTGAATAGCGAATAATGACGTGAAGAAAAACGATTCATACCGGAGAAGCCCTGACACGGAGGACCTCCTAGTATTAGATCGACGTTTCCTTTCTGGGGTAACAATTGGCCATTTTTGTCACATTTTCTACCAGTTAGTAGTTGATCTAAAAAATGATTGACATCTTCTTCGAAAACAATGGATGTCTTATAGTTAGTCCTAAACGATTTGATGGCTGAACTATCCTTTTCAATGGCCCATAACTTTGAAACTAATCCCAGTCTATGGAAACCGTACGATAGGCCGCCACAGCCGGCAAACAGATCCAAAATATTTAGTTTATTAGCTGTTAAATTGGTTTCCAAATTATTATTAGTAATTGTATGATAATTGTGGGAAAACTTTTCAATAATATCATCGCTGGGTTTATCCAATAAATTGGTTATCGGATCGTAGCGTTGATTAAAATAAAATAATTTTGTTTCGATAAAAAAATCAGTTTTCAATGATTCCCCTGAATATACAACTCGACAATTACCGCAAAGTGACCTAACAGTAACCACTGTTTGCTGGTCACACCAATAGACAACATTAAGATCACATTTTAGATAATCCGTGTAATTGGCAAATATATTGTGCGGTCTATAAAATATATGAACCAATAGTTTGATTTCATCATCGGATTCATCCGCTGTTTGTTTGTAAATATCACTGATATAAACGATTTGCGATAACTTTGGCAGATCTGTATCGTAACCTTTGGCGTAATCGGTAAACGCTTTTCTGTATCGTTCGGGATATAGTTGATCATCAAAGGTGTCATCATCTTCTTGTTGTTGTTCTTCTTCTTCTCCATTATCATCAGTTATGCCGTATTTATATTCAGTTAAGTGATTATCAGCAATGAAAGCGCAGTCACCGATCCGATAGGTTTCAGTTTTATAGATAATTTTATCATATCTTCGACGACAATTTGACTCATTATTATTATCGGTATCATCAGTAGTCACAACATTTACCACTATTTCATTATCCAATTGAACAGTTTGTTGTCTATCGTGATTATCTTTAAGCAAACAGTTAACACATTTGACTTCATCGTCAAACACTTCCGGCGGTAGATCCTGAAAACCGCCTGTTTCTCTATAATATATTTTGTTGCAAACATAGCCATCGAAATCCGGTTTTTCATCAATCAAATCCAATTGATAGTTAAATTTTACTAATATTTTATCTTTGATCGCCATCACTGGTACATCCAGACATTCGTTTGATAAGAATAGCATCCAATCGGGTGCTGTTTCGCCAAGAATTGTTTGCTTTCCGGACCTAATTCAACAACAAAAAAATCAATTTAAAAAAAACTAACTATAGTTACGGTAAGCACCGGTATATACTGTATATATCAAATAAATACCATAAACAGTGAATGTGACACAAGTTTTGTTTGTGACCAGTGCTATACATAAACATAAGTCGTCCTAATTTTACCGATTCATCAATTAGTTTAACGACAACACAATCCTTTAAACGATACTATAGTATTGAAAACAGAAATAACAAAAAAAAAACAATAATATAATTAATAAAAACAATAATTATATCACAAACACAAAAACAATTACCGTTTCATCGTTTACTTTCAGACCACTATAATACTGAGTTCGGGCGTATCTGTCCTCATAGACAGCTGATCCGATCCACGATGTCTTCACATTTTTCGTCGAATTCATTGTATTTTTTGAGATCAATTTCGCACAACTAGTGGCTGTTTTGTATTGTTGTTTTTGTTTGTCTGATTGTCGCGAATCGCATTCAATAACTTCTTTGAAGATATTGTCGAAAAATTTGGTCACAAGTGGTGTACTACAGGTTAGACTATCGCTGTTGACCAGTCGGCGACTGTCTTGTCGGGCAATTGGTCTCATATTAGGCAAGTTTTGTCCGCTACCCGATTGGCCGTCAGTCAGACTAACGCCCGATAATTCGATAAACGTCTGAATGGCAGTGGTTTCCATCAGAAGTGTTTCGTCGTCATCGGCAGCGGAATCAAAACTTCTGATCTGTTGGACAACAAACGGTGCAAAATGTAGCAAAACTTCTTCACTAAAATTATCAGATTTTTGTTGAACACATTGTATGAGATCTTCGTAGTTATAATCGGGACATTCAAGCAGCGACTCGATTATCAATTTGGTGACCAATATATTAGTCGTACGTTTGCTGTAAATCGGTTCAAAATAATTGTCGGGTTTGCTTAAGATATACGAAGCAAATTCGCTTTCGACGCCAATTACCAATTGGTGACCGCCGTCAAAGCCGGCGAACCACCACTCCTGCAGCGGACCTATTGATGATATAATTATTATTATTACTTCAATAACAACAGCAAAAAAAAAGACATCTATTTTTTTACCGATCATTTGTGCCTTAAATCTTGTATCAACTTTGCCATCATCGGCGCCACCGCTATGATCATCATCATCATCATTGTCGGCAACAATCGGCTGAATATAGCCGCAGATGAACAACTGGTCAATTGGTTTATCATCGAACCAACAGTATCGGCGACCGATGTCGTGAACAGCAAATCCGCTGATACGATGTTGAGGTCTAGCATCGATGGCTTCGTCGTGCGTACCATCAATGGCCAGACCTGGACTGGTCAGTACTACAGGTTCCGATTGATGATCATGGTCATTATCATTATCTAGTTTGTTGTGGCACTGGTGACACAACTCGTAACAGTTGTTGTTGTGGTTGTGTTTGGATCTCTTTGGCCGATGAGGACTGAAGATGTTGTTAGTGTTGTTGGCGGTGTTGGCGGTGTTGGCGGTGTTGGTGTTGTTGGCGGTGTTGGCGGTGTTGGTGTTGTTGGCGGTGTTGGCGGTGTTGGCGGTGTTGGCGGTGTTGGTGTTGGACGACAACGACATTATTATTATTATCAATCATATTATGATATATGTCTTATTTGTATCAATCAATTGTTGCCATCAATTGATGTTACCATCAAAAAAAAACTGAAGATATTAGTGATGATAATCATTATAACAATAATAACAATAGTTATAATCAAATCTAAACTAAACTAATAATAACTTTTTGTTTTTGTTTTGTCTGAAAAAATGAAAAGTTTAGCGCACTTTCCCTATTGGCTAATAAAATAATAATTATTGCCAGGGGTTTTAAGAAAATAAATGCCTGCCCTGGCAATGCCCAAATGTAGATACCATAAATGCTTAAAGGCATTTTTTGGTCATCTATTATATATTTGTCTGCCACATTAAATTGCTAAAAGGCAAATGGTATTTTTTATAAAACTAATGTAATTTAGTGTTTTTAGCATGCTAATTAAATTTACAATTAATTTATTACTTATTTCCAATGATATTTATATTATTATTATTTTTTTTAATTAAAGATATACAAAACAAAAATACAAACAAATATATCGATAAAATAATGTTTTATAAATTAATTAATAATAAAAAAAATTATAATAATATGTTATGTAAATTAAGTACATGGCAGATGCAGGGCAAGCATTTTGCAAAATTGGCATCTATTGTTTATGCGTACCATTTTTTTTAAAACCCTGCATATTATACATGTTAAATTATAACTTATATAATAAAAAACATATGACTTAAAACTAAATGCATTGAAAATTATTGAAAAAGTTTATACATTTTTGTGTTTTTTGATTTGATTGTAAATTAATATACTGTACAATAATTATTTCCAATAACTACCGTATGATTTGGTCACTATATTTTGCTGTAGATATTACATAAAAATAAAAAAAAAAACAAGTTTTCCTTATGTTATTACAGTATAATAAATAGTTATACAGTTAAATACATATTCAACTAAAAAAAAAAAAATTACAGTAAACTAATAATTATTATGAAAATTTATAAACAAAATATACAGTGCAAAGTCATAGTATTTAAATAAATAAATAATTTATTAATAATAATTTGTGTACATTATTGTAATGTTAATCTCTACACTACAGTATCATTGAATGCGATTAAAAAAAACTTTACAAATAAAATTTATTTATGTTTATATAATTTAATAATTTTATCGATCAGGAAGTTAATGTATTTAATAAATTAATAAAATTAATAGATATTAGTAAATATAAAATATTTAATATACTTAAAAAAAAAGTTTATATTTAATGTTAATTTAACTACCAGTTAATCTACAATACATTATAATAAGTAATTTTATTTATATATAATCTATTGATATAATTAAAGTTTATTTTTACTAAACAAAAATTGTTTTTAACAAAATTTTTTAGTCAATTTAGATATATATGTAAACTAATGTGTAAATTGTTTTTCATTTTTAATTTTTTTTTTTTATATAAGAGATGCGATTAACTAATCTATTGATGAACGCTAAGAAAACAATTGATGTGGTAGTGTTGGGCGCTACAGGATTTACCGGTAAATTTGTGGTCAACAAATTGGCCGAAACTTTGATCAACGATACAAAGTTTAATCAGCCGATTGTTTGGGCGATTGCCGGCCGAAACAGAGCTAAACTTCAGACAGTTTTAGATCAGACATCAAAGGATGTTGGCGTTGATCTGTCGGTGTCATCGTCATCGTCGACATCGATACCGATCATCGAAGTGGACATCAATAACAAACAATCATTGCTGGATATGTGTCGTAAATGTCGGCTAGTTATCAATTGTTGCGGTCCATATCGTCTATTAGGTGAACAGGTAGTCAATGCTTGTATCACTGCAGGTAACTGTCATCACATCGATGTTAGCGGTGAACCACAATTTTTGGAAACAATTCAACTGAATTACGACAAACCGGCCAAACTGGCCAACTGTTCAATAGTTGGTTCATGCGGTTTTGATTCGGTACCGTCGGATATTGGGGTACAGTATGTCAAATCGGTATTCAATGGTACCGTTAACTCGATTGAAACATATTTACGGGTAACCAGTAGTATTAATACCCGGGTAACATACAATATGGCCACTTGGCATTCCCTTGTCTATGGTTACGCCTATAGACATGAATTGAAACAATTAAGACAACAGTTATACAATAGTTTAAAGAAATATCAGTGGAAATACCGAATCAATAGGAAATCAATAGCGAAACTATCGGACGGCAGCAGCGGTTATTCGGTACCATTTCCTGGCAGTGATCGATCGGTTATAATGCGGACACAGTTAGCCAACTATACAACTAGTAATGAAAGACCCGTTCAAATTGAAACCTATTTTACTGTCAAATCGTTGGGTGCAGTATTTGCACTGATATTTGTCAATCTATCGGTTAGTTTACTATCTCGTTATACCAGTGGCCGACAATTGTTGATGAAATATCCGCATATATTTTCATTGGGAACATTCAATAGGGATACGGAACCCGATAGGCAAAAATTGTTGTCAAGAAACTGGTGCATAACATTTGTAGCACAGGGATGGCCCCAGATATATACGGATCCATGTTTTCAACCAACAGAGGAAATACCTAATAAACAATTAGTGGCCCAAATATCGGGCGGAGATTTGGCATATATGGACACATCGACTATTGTCACACAGATAGCCATACATATGATTGAATTGATGAACAAAAACCAACTCAAGTCGGGAGTTATGACACCCGGTATGGCGTTTGAGTCCAAAATACTTTTAGATAAATTAGATGCAAATGGCATCAAATTTCGGTTAAAATTATAATAAATAATTAATTTAAACATATATTTTATTATTATTTTTAAAAATGCTATTTTACGGGTAAATAGATATTAATTTAAGCGATTAAATGATGGGATTATCTGTTTAACAAACAAACAAAAAAAATTAATTAATACTAATTTTTCTTCAACTTCTTCATGAGATTCAACTGTTCAATGGCTGCTCTTCTTTTTCTCTGTAATAATAATAATAATTAAATTCAATTATTAATTAACAGTTAATTACTAGTGATATATCTATTTTTACAAAAAAAAAAAAATTATTTACATTTGGAGTTCCGGGTCCTGAACCCAGATCTATGACTTCCGATATCTTCTTAGTGGGCGATGAAGTAGTAGAACTACTATCTGGTTTGGCATCAGGCGGTACTGTTGTTGTTGAGGGGAACAGTGTGGTCGGTATGTCCAATATCTTACCCGGTTGTGAGGCCTCGAACTGATGTTTCAGCGATTGTAGTTCATACTCGCAATTGGACAGTGCTATCTTCAGCTCATACAACAAAACCATATCACTTCTCAATTCATTAAAGTGTTGACATATTTCTTCCGTAGGCATCGGATGTAATTCAATGTTCAGTTCGTTGAGCAGCTGTTCGATGGCTTTGGTTTTCTTTTGGCCGACAGCTGCCGGCAGTTTCATACGTTGACTACGCAATGTGGCACCGCTGGCCTTGATTTCCGGAAACTTAATACCGGCAGTTTCCAGGTTAGGCGTAGCCGATGCCGATGAAGTATTGGCAATTGTTTCCCGAGCCGATCGTTGAATATGCGGTGTTTTCTTGCGTCCCGGTCGGCTACCACCCGAGCGGGCCTGTTGATCCATTTTGCGTGCCTCTACCGACGTATCCGCTGCCGTAATCAGCTTCTGTAGGTCCTGTGTTTTCTTTTCTCTTTCTTTTTTTCTCATTTCAATTTTTCGCAACTCATTCAACAGATGTTGTTCCTCTTCCATCTGTTCAGGTGTACGATCGTACAGTTTGATCAGCTGTTCCTTTCGTTTACGTTCGTGATCGGCATCGAACACACGCAGCTTAGGCTCCTGGCCCGGTAGGGCCCGATATTTGGCCAAAATATTACATATATTGTAGTAGCGATCTTTGAGATCTTCGACGGATCGATTCGGAAACGCAATCCTATCCCATCGGTCGTGAATTATGATAAATCTCAGATCAAATCGACGACACAAATCAAACAGATGATCCGTTTCTGTCTTCGACCAGCCATCGCATGTCAATAGCTGTTGATATTCGGAATCATTATAGCCGGGAATTTCGATAGACTTCAGATGAAAGAGATTTATTTGATTGATTGATTGATTGATTGAAAAGAAATTAAGATTACAATTAAAATTCATATATCAAATGATTTCAAAAACCCAAATCACTTCAAGACCTACTGTATTAAGTCTGGCGAACGGATACTCTTTGTTTTTGTCCACTTCACGTCTCCAATGATATAACTCTATCTTATCCTAAAAAAATAAAATAAAATAATTTTTAAAAAAAAATTAAATATCAAACAAAGTGTATCCCAAAAAAATAAGACATTATTGAGACTAAATTACTGTAATATAATAACTCAATAATACCTTTGGACTAAATCGGGTCCAAATCCATGGTCTGACTCGTTTGAGTCCCAATTTGGCTTTGATTTGTTTGTAACCAACCATTGATTTGTTTTGAAAGCCAATGTCCGTCGGCATCAGTGATGGATTATCTCTGCCATCAATCAAACAATCAAATAAAAGACAATTTATATTAACAATTGATTTATCTTAAAGATAATGTCCATCAGGAAGAGGAAGAGTTGTAGTGCATACTTGTTGTCGGCGTAAAGCAATGCATATAATTCGCGATGCATTCCTTCGGGACGTTTGGCCATCAAATCCGATGCCCGCTTACGGCGATTCTGTCGGTTAATAATAAAAAAAAAAAAAATAGACAATAGTTTCAAACAATTATCAACAAAACAGAAAACTCTTCAGCCAATTGGTCTAACCTTTTGTTTGTTGTTGTCATTGTGCGAGTCGTTGTTGCTGTTGTTGTGATCGTTACGATCCAAGTCCAAGATGTCCAACACGTCGGCCATGTTATGTGACCACTAAATTGTGTGACCACTTGTCTACTAATAATCGGTAAAATGTTTTTTTTTCTCAGTTGTTATTGTTTTTTTGCAATACTATTACTACTTATTAATACTAATAAACACAATAACAATATACACTGCAAACATAATTTAATTTCGTATCGCAAAAATATTGATATCATTAACTTTGAACTTTAATAACTTTTTTATTTTTTAACTTAAATAAACAAATTTGATATCAAATGAAAGAACACTTTTCAAAGTTTATAAGTCAATAAATAAAATTGCATTAATTATCATATTATCTATAAAAAAGCATAAGAAGTAAGAAATGGTAAAAAAAGTTATGTACAAAAAGTATTTTCGTGAAATCAAAACTTTAAATATTATTAACAAAATAAAGCTATTAATTTAGTAAAAACAATATTAATATCGAGTATTGCCTCCGTTGGCATCAATCACAGCCTGCAATCTTCTTGGAACACTTTGGATCAGCTTTTCTGTGACTTCTTCAGGTATATTTTTCCAGACATTAAATAACGACTCTTTAAACGCAGAAAAACTTTTTCTTTCGCTCTTTGGCACACGTCTGTCCAATTCATCCCATAGATGTTCAATAATATTGAGGTCAGGGCTCTGTGGCGGCCACTCAAGTGTCTCAATTTGATTGTCAGACAACCATTTCTTTGCCAATTTTGATGTGTGCTTTGGGTCGTTGTCCGCTTGAAATAAAAAATCATCGCTTATTTGTAGATCTCTGGCACTCTGAAGCAAATGTGGGGTCAAAATATCGTTAACGTAAATGTAGCGGTCCATAGTTGATGGAATTTCGACCAAATGGCCAACTCCCTGGCCTGTCATACACCCCCATACCATAACTGATTTCGAGTGCTTCACAGTTGGACATATATTATCAGGATTAATGCTTTCGCCTCTCTTTTTAAACACTCGTTGGCGACGTTTAGTACTAATAATCTCAAATTTTGACTCATCTGACCACAAGACCTTCCTCCAGTATGACATAGGCATCCGGATGTACTTTCGTGCAAAGTCTAATCGTTTTCTCTGATTTGTTAGGCTTATCATTGGACGTCTTCGCGCAATACCACTGTAATAACCCATTTCTTGAATCCGGTGTCTAATAGTGTTTCGGTGACACAAAATGTTTCTGGCGGCCAACTCTTCCTTAATCTCATCGGTGGTCAACTTCTTATTTTTTGCCACAATTCGACTCAATATCCTGTCCTGTTTAGCACTGGTACATCTTTTTCGACCACTTCTTGCGAGATTTCTAACTGTCCCGTACTTTTCGACTTTCTTTACAATTGATCGGACAGTATTATCAGTTGTTGTAAACAGTTCCGCTATTTTTGCGTATGACTTTCCGGTGCTGACTCTCATATCATACATTTGTTGGCGAATTGCATCTGAAAATTCTTGTATTTTAACCATTTTTATGATAATCACTGCATTTACTGTTTATTTACGTGTATTCAAATTAATAACAATGCATTGGAATCAATTGGTCCCAACAATGTGTCTGAAATCACGCGCGTTTTAAAAACACGAAAATAATTTTTGTACCTAAATTATTAACACCTATAACTTTACCTTGATATATTTTGTTATTTAAACCATTGTTTTGACCATCTAGTATATCAATTTAATTGTGATTTATTACTCTATTATTTGATATCAAATTTGTTTATTTAAGTTAAAAAATAAAAAAGTTATTAAAGTTTAAAGTTAATGATATCAATATTTTTACGATACGAAATTAGATTATGTTTTTAGTGTATATAGCATACAGTCTCAGTACAATCAAAACCAAAACAATAGATTGCATTGCACTACAAACACATAGATTAGACTTAATATATATATACATATAAAAAATACATAATATGTTTTTTTGGTATAAACTCCGCCCCGCCCCCCTAAGCATTATACCTTATAATATTGCGCGCATATATTATAGACTACTGTTTTATAGGATATTATTGTGTGTGTGTGTGTGTGTGTGGCGGCCAATATTGTTTTGGTTTTGCTTATACTGAGACAGTGGCTGATAATGTGACTGTCATTTATAGTGTACATCAATTACGTCGATAATAAATTTTAATTATAATTATTAATTATAATAATTAACATTAAAATTATGGGCTACAATCACCAGGGTTTTTATAAGGAAATTAAATACATGCCCTGGCAATGCCCAAAATAAATACCTGAAATTTTGGGCATCTATTTTATTTGCCTGCCATTTGAAAAAATGCTAAAAAAGAAACTGTATTTATTTTTAAAAAAAATAAATAATGTAATTTACTGTTTTTTTAGCTTGATTAATTTTTTAGTTTACAATTAATATACTTATTTTTCCAAGGATATTATTACCTATTTAATTAAAAATATATACAAAAACAAAAATACAAACAAATTTGTAATTAATTAATTAATATAAATTTTAAATAATAGGTTAATATTTATTATAGAAAAAATATATAAGTGCAAAGTTATAATAAGTTTAAAAAAAATAATAACTTAATAAACATTATTACAGTACAAAATTATAGTATTAATTAATAATTTTATTTAAAAAGTTTATATTAATAACAGTAAATTTTATTATTATTTAATATCCTTTTATTTAAAAGTTTATATGTATCAATCAATCAATCAAATATTTTATTTTATTTAAAAAAATGCCAATTTATTGTAAATTTTTGTAATGTATTATTAATACAGTATACCAAATCTATTGCTATTATAATTAATATTATAATATATTATAACAAATCTATTGCTATGTATTGTATATTAATAACGTTTTAAAATTTAAAACAAATTAAATTTGTAATTATATTTTATTCAATACAATAATATTCTGTATGCTTTATACGTACTGTATGTACAGTATATACTGAAACTGCACATATAATACAGTAAATTACATGTACTTTAATATACAGTATTAAATATACTGTACTTATAAAACACGTGTTTATTACACTGTAGTAGACATTCAAAAATATTTGAAAAGCATTGAAATGTGTGTTTGATTTTAATATTAATTATTATTTTTTTTTTGAATATATAGTTATGTCATATATTTGTTTGCAACAAAAATAACAGTATTTCAATGGCTTATTAAATATAATTAGTATATATTTGTTTTAATTAATAATTGATTTATATATATATACTGTATAACAATGCAAACTACCGGCAGTCAAATATTTGAAGGCTACAAAAGTGTTGGCCTAGTATCGGGTTCAGTGGCCCATATGGTCAGGTATGTGGATAAACTACATGAGCGCCGAGTGGTCACTGTTTGCGGCAATACGTTCCTGACGTTCAACGATAGGCTCCGATTGATTGAAACATGTAATGAAAAAAGTTTTTTTTGTTGCTTTTATTTTATTAATTATTTTATAAAAATAGTTTTTAAATTTTGTTAATAAACTTCTCTTTCATAACTTTTTTTTTATTCATGTAATTAAAAAACAAAAAACAAAATATAATCTTAAGATAACTTTTATTTTAATGTTAAAAATCTATAGGTGTGGCCCACGATAGCGACATCCAGGTCCTGACCAGCGATTCAAAGTTCATCTATACGGCCGCCGATAACGAAATCTTTGGCTGGAAATATGGCCACAAATGGGTAAATTGAATGCTAAACCTCTTTATTCAAACATCACCGGTGATGGTGTTGTTGTGGTGGTTGTAATCAATCAATTACTTTTGACTAATAATCTGATTTTTTTTGATTAGAAATCGCGATCTTTTGCCGGTTGTCTCGAATCGACGGTTGAATGTCTTCTACCGTTTGGTCCGCATCTGATAGCGACAGACTCGGAGAATATCCTAAGAGTTTGGGAAATCCGTAGCCAAGAGCTGACACTTACTATACCGATGAACCCGGAATCGTTTCGTATGACTTGTTTGGTACATCCGGCCACTTATATCAACAAAATACTGATCGGTTCAGTACAGGGATCGCTACAGATGTGGAACCTCAGGACACAGACATTGATTCATACGTTTAGCGGTTGGCAATCGCGAGTGACACGTCTATGTCAGGCGCCAGCCATCGATATTATGGCCATCGGTCTGGAAAACGGCTGCATTTTCATTCACAACCTGCGATTGGATGAGACGCTCATGAAGTTCAGCCAGGAATGGGGTTCCGTCGAGACAATCAGTTTCCGATCGGATGGCAAACCGTTTATGGCTACGACATCGACGTCCGGACATTTGGCGCTCTGGAATCTCGACCACAAGCGGCTGGAATCGCAAATGAGAAACATTCACAGCGGACCAATTGTCGGAACGACTTTCATCGACGGCGAAGCCCTAATGGTTACCAATTCACCGGATAATTCGCTTAAAATTTGGTGTTTCGATCAGTCGGACAGTACGGGACGTGTTCTCTATCAGCGCGAAGGTCACCGAAGAGGTCCGACAAAGATCAGGTTTCACGGCTTCAAAGGACAGTATGTGTTGAGCGCTGGTCTCGATTCAACTTTGCGGGCGTTTTCCATATTTTCCGAACGACTCAATCGTAGTCTAGGAGTTGCCTCACATAACCGAAAGTTGTCGAAAAAGAGAGGCAATCGCTATGATGTCTATCGAATGAAACCGATTATCGACTTTACGGCCGGTTATTATTATTTGTGATTAGATTTTTAAATCATTTTCTGTAATTAACTGATAATTGACTAATTTTCTGATACATATACAGAAACCACCCGCGAAAAGGAATGGGATGGCATTGCAGCTGTTCATCGGCGACAAAACATAGCCACCACCTGGTCCTTCAACGAGTCCAAAATGGGTAGACATAAACTAATGCACAATCGTTTTGTTAACAAACATAATATTGTGGCACTGGTATGTGATAATTATTATTTTTTTAATGTGTGTTAATATATATATATCAATTATCAATGATTTTATTTTTTAAATCAATAGTGTGTATGTCTGAGCTGTTGCGGTAATTTTGTGATAATCGGCTACAATACGGGACATATCGACCGATATAATATCCAATCGGGTATTCATAGGGCCGCGTATGGAAATAAAGGTATATTATTACTCGTAATATTTGTTATATATTTTTTTGTAATTAAAACTAATGTTAATATTTAGCTCATAGCGCGGCTGTTAGAGGTATAGCCAGCGATGGACTTAACCAATTGGTCATCAGTGGCGGCAACGACTCGTTACTCAAGTTTTGGCGATTTAACGGTAAAGAGTTGTTAGCAAACTTGACATTAGATGCACCCGTGAATCAACTCGTGTTTCATAAGGAAAGGTAGAAAAATTTATTGCTAAATATTTATTGATTAACAATTAATTAATCGTATATTTCAGTTCATTATTAGCGGTTTCTTTGGACAACTTTTATGTCAATGTAGTTGATTGCGAAACCCGACGAATAATACGTATATTAGGTCCGCACGGAAATCGCATTACGGACATGACTTTCAATCGGGAAAGCCGTTGGTTAATAACATCCAGTATGGACTCAATAGTACGTGTTTGGGATCTACCGTCCGGTCTGTTAGTGGACGCATTTCGGGTGTCAACTCCGTGTATATCGCTATCGCTATCGCCGACTGGCGAGTTCTTAGCCACTGCTCATACGGATGATTTGGGTATCTATTTGTGGGCTAATATATCGCTGTACGCACCGGTATCTCTGCGTCCACTCAATCAAGAAGACTGTGAACCAGTTTTGCTTGAAATGCCGGTTATTCGTAGCGATGAAGAAGACAACGAGGAAGAAGAAGAAGAATGTCAGCGCATTGTTGAAGATAGTGAACAACAATCAGATGAACTAATGGACACTCAATCAGAGTCGTATAAATCTCCCGAACAGTTAGCAGAGAATTTGATTACATTGTCATCACTTCCCGAATCCAAATGGAAAAATCTGCTAAATTTAGATTTAATTAAAGTAAGTAAAAGATTTGATTTGATTTGTTTGGTATAATGAGATACTAAACTACAATACAATGTTTAACCCAATGTTTTTTTTTTGCAGAAACGAAATAAACCTAAAGAACCGGTCCGTAAGCCCGAAAGCGCGCCATTCTTTTTGCCGACAGTGGCCGGCATTGAACCCAAGTTTCTGGTTACCGATAATCCCGAAACAAACGCGTCGGCTATCGATACGAAGATTCGCGACTATTTAACGCCGTTGTCATCGTTTGGCGAACTAATCATTTCGTGTCATAACCAAAGCGATTGTAATCCACTAATGGATTGTCTGAAATCAATGTCTCAGTCGGCCATCGATGCAGAACTACGATCACTGTCCACACAGTCAATTGGTTCACCGAATTTGATGCTCTATTTCTTGGAATCGCTGGAAACCGGTCTGAAAACTTATCGTGACTTTGAACTAATTCAATCATATTTGTCATTATTTCTGAAAATACATGTCGAAGATATTGTTATCAATGAAAAACTGAAAACTCTGGCCAATAGTCTATCAGAAACTAGTGATCAACTATGGGATAGACTAAGCAATGAGTTTAATAAGTCGTTGTGTTTAACAAATTATTTGAGAAGTGCTATACTTTAGGATTTTTTGTTTAACGAATAAATAAAAGTAATTATTATTGAATTTTTAAGATAAAATGTAATTTAAAAGAAAAAAAATGTAATAAATTATTTCAAATGTCTTTCAAAAATATCAAAATGTCTATAAAAACATTAAAAATTTATTAAAAATAATACAATTGATGTGTTGGTGAGTGTTAAGAAAGAGAGAGAGAAAGAGATCTCAATTCAATTGAATTACAAATTAGTTTGTATTTTCTTATGTTTTTTTTGCCATTTAATTACTATTCATTAAACACTATCAATCAAAATGTAATTTAAATTAAAAAGTTAACATTGAAGTACATGTCATAAACTATACACAGAATCGTTAAATAATTATAATTAAGATAATCTTTAAATGTAATAATAATAATATTTTTTATAATTATTTAATGGAAGTTATAATAAAACTACGAATTTCTTTGTTAATAAAATCAATAAACAATTCATTGCTAATCATTGTTTTGCTGACTTTCATCTGTTGGATCAGCGATGATCTGTTTTCTTCGATAAAACCTTTGTTAACGCCTCTAGTGGTCATCACTTTACTCGATGTCTTCAACTGTGCGCCCAATGCGGCCGATGGCGACGGTTTCAGTTCAAGAAGAATCACTTTCTTTTCGACTAAATTCATAAACTCTTCGATAATATCGGGAATAAATATATAGTTAAAAAAATACGGATATATAAACTTCGGCTGCGATGCTGATGATGACGATTGGGAACCATTGTTACCTCCATTGGTGGCCGCATTTCGTACGCATGAAATACAGGCCAAAAACAGTTGCAAATTGTTTGGCCACTTGTACTGACACAACACAATCAAATGACCCAAACCTATGTCGCTTGGCTTCAGTGACAACAGTATACGGTCTTTCAGACATTGAATGATAACTTCAATCAAATAATTCATAATCTCATCGATCGATAGCTGTATGAATACTAATTGTCGGGAACTGCTGTCCATTAGTTGCGATGTTTTCGACAAACAATTGACGTCCTCTTTCACTGTAATCACCGAATCACACACTGTTGATGACGGACTCTTCAATGGTAAACATTCAATGGCTTCGAGACAATACTTGAGAGTTGAGTTGTAGTCGTGAATCATAAGCGATACCGAAATCAATTGTAAACTGTTTTTAATTGTATTTGATTTTCTATTGGCTATCAATGAAAAAACTTCGCTATACTCTCCTCTATAGATATTCGAGTCGATAACAAACGATTGATACGATTCGCATGATTTCAGACCAATTAGTTCCGATAATTTCAGATATTCTGTGCGATACGAATGAAACAAAAAACAAATCATATAATTATTTATATTTAAATATATATAGTTTTAAGTATATATATAACCGGAACTAATGGTTAGATTTTCTTGTAATAATTTAAGAGCTTTAGAGGCGACCACAAAAATATTCTTCATCTGTATGTTTCCAGTCATTAGCAACGGTTCAGCCGTTAGTTTTCTTTTCTTGTTCATCGATAACGCCATCTTTGTTTCCATGGCTAACGAATGGCCTAATTCTTCTATTAGTACAACATTTGAGCTAATCTTCAGATATTTGTAAAGACATTCAAGAAATAGCAATAGTGTTGCATAAAGTATCTGTTGTTCGGTCTGTTCGTCGCCGCTGATCATCGCTGTCGACGCCGAACTCAAATCCATTGGTGTATCGGTATCTCCTCTGAAACGAAATTCATCGATAAATCGCGATATCTTATCGTAGATTAGATCCAATTGTTTTTCGTGAAGAAAATCAATATTTTCAAACAGTTTCCAATCGTTTTTCAGTCCAATCAAATGCATGATTTCAACGATTTTCGCCTCCAATACATCGCTATTCTCTTTATTGCCGCCATCGCTGTCCTGATTGCTGTCCAATTTGTCCAATCGTTGACTATAGCCATCCGATTGCCGGACAATTAGTTTACGAACAAAAAATTTAAAACCTTTTTGAATCAATTTCTGGACTTTTTGCGAGTCTAACGCTAGACTTGAATCGTTGTTTTGGACAAAAATTATCGGCAAAACATCGAAAACAAGTTTTCTTTGAAAATATTCATTCAATTGTTGATCAACAGAATCGCCGCTTAATTCATCGTTTTCGTCGATAATGTCAATCAATTTGACACCAATTTCTGGAACACTATCGGGAAATCGTTTCAAAATAAATAGTAATAAATCAATGGAAACAACTTTATCGTCGATACGGTCGACAACTCGGCGTAACATTTTGTACTGATATTCACGGGAAAGACAGGCAAATAGTTTGCCATAAAATTGCAGTTCATTTGTGGTCAACGATGTCGTCGCCGCTGACCATTGAATGCCAAACACCGATTGCATCCGCTGTTCGCTTAGATGATAGGTTTGCCATTCATTTCGACACGAAATGACCAGTTTGTTCATCTCAATCATTAGCTGATCCGAGCATTGATTGCCGTCAAACATATCGCACAAATATTTTACCGCTTCCTCCACATTGTCCTCGCATTTGCAGATCTCGTACGACTCTAACTGTTAATTAAGAAAAAAAAGTAAACCAATTAAAGTGATCATTCAATTGATTGGACCGACAGATACCATACATACCTTGATGTTGTCGTTGTGCGGAAACAATGCATTGGCTGTCATTATCCAACACTTGCCATAACTGGCATCGCCGGCGGCCAAACAACTCTTGGCCCGCGATATCATGTATTGTCTGATATGATGATCGCCGTCATCGGCGGCAACGGTGCCGGTAGTGGTCTTCTTGACCATTGTTTATCAAATTATATACTAATAACTAACTAATCAGTCAATTGATTATTTTAGTGAATGAGCCGATTGTCTGTGTGGCCACCGATCGGTACTTTTATTGTTAATGTTATTATTGATTACTAAATGATTGAATGATTTTTATATAACATATGATATATAAATCAACAGTAAGTCTACTGTAATCTCAATATAATGTTATTGTTTTTATTATTATTAAATGATATTTTTTTTTGTTCACATATATAGTGATTATTTTATTGTATTATTAAATAAAATAAATCTATTCAATACATGTATTAATATAAAGTATGTATAACCCCCACCCCTATAGTCTAACCAATAATATTAGTAAATACAGTGTAACGTTGTTTGTTACTAGGAATTAATTGGTATTGCATTGCATTTACTGTATATATAAAGTTTTATTATTAAAAAAAAGTTTTTAAAAGTTATTTAAAGTTTATTTTAACAAAAAATATTATTGAAATAAAGGCACCGGTAAATCAACTCATGTTTCATAAGTAAAGTTATGATATTTATTGCTAAAAGATTTACCAATTAATCAATTAAATTAATTAAAATTGTTTAAAAACCTAATCTGATGCTCTATTTCTTGGAATCGCTGGCAAACAGTCTGAAAACTTATCGTGACTTTGAACTGATTCAATCATATTTGTCATTATTTCTGAAAATACATGTCGAAGATATTGTTATCAATGAAAACTTGAAAACTCTGGCCAATAGTCTATCAGAAACTAGTGATCAACAATGGGATAGACTAAGCAATGAGTTTAATAAGTCGTTGTGTTTAACAAATTATTTGAGAAGTGCTATACTTTAAGATTTTTTTACGATAAATAAAAGTAATTATTATTGAATTTTTAAGATAAAATGTAATTTAAAAAAAAATGTAATAAATTATTTCAAATGTCTTTCAAAAATATCAAAATGTCTATAAAAACATGAAATTTTTTTTTAATGTTTTTTGTCATATAATTACTATTCGTTAAACAAAATTCAATCAAAATGTAATTTAATTTATAAGTTAACATTGAAGTACAGGTCATAAAATCAATATTTAATAAAAATAATCAAAAAAAAATATGTATTAATCAATCACTTGTTGAGCTTGTTGTCGGCTCAACTCTCATAAGAGCTGATCCTAGTATATAGATAATCAAAAAAAAATAATTAATTAAATTACAATTATTATTATTATTATTATTTCAGAGTGAAATAAATATGTTTACTATTGAAATAGTTTTGAAATACTTTGAAATAAATAGATAAAATACTGTATATATATGTATACAAACCGGGACTTAAACTTAATTTAGTCGACTTTGGGGGTCGATTTCGGGGTCGATATCCTTGTCGGTGAAGGACTGGTAGATCGACTCTCCGGGCGTTTCTTCTCAAAAAATTGCATATATCTTACTATTTTATTCTTTCCTTCATCAATTGATACTTTGATTTCACATTGGTGCTCATTGTAGATATCTTTTCCCCGTTGTTTGAATATTTCCCCTTTACTTATACTCGAGCTAAAAATCAAGATCAACATAAATATATATATATATACAGCTTGTCTTTTGGGAACGTAGCACAAGGAAAACTAGACGTAATTTATGAAAATAAAAAATTTATTTTTTAAATATAGTCCCCTCCTAATTCGATGCATAGCTCCATTCGGGATCTCCACATCTCGAAAGCTTTTTTATAGCGATCTTCAGAAATGGAGTGAAAATACTCCATCACCGCGCAGTCCAACTCTTCCTCTGTCTTAAATGCTTGTCCGCGAAGAAAATGCTTCAGACCACTAAACAACCAAAAGTCACACATTGCAAGGTCGGGGGAATATGGCGGGTGCGGTACAGTCTTGACATTATTTTTGGCCAAAAACTCTTGAGTCAGTTTTGCAGTATGAACTCGGCTGTTGTCGTGGTGCAGTAGCATTCCTTTTTTTGCAGATCCCTCAATGACTTTAGGAAGACATTGTGTGGTGTACCACAAAGCCGTGGCTGTCTTCTGTCCGCATAACTTTACCGCGGCCACCAAACCCGCCGTATTGAAAAATACGGCGTACATAACTTTTCCAATAGTTTTATCACGTTTGACAATATCGGGCGGTACCTCATCTTCAAACACAAATATCTTCGCTTCACGTGACAATTTTGGCTCATAATAGTGAACATATGTTTCATCACCTGTAGTGATCTTATCAATTAAAACATGTCCCTTATTCTTCCACATCTTTAGATTTTCTCGGCAAATGTTCACACGTTGTTGTTTTTGTTCATCTGATAGAAAGTGAGGAACAAACCGACATAAACGCTTCCGTACGCCAATCAAATCAGTGCATATTTTTTGAAGTGTTGTGCGATGAATGCCTGACTTTTCCTCTAACTCACGGTATGTGATCCATGGATCTGCTCTTATTATCTTTTCGACAGCGGCCGCATTTTCAGGGGTCGATACAGTAACTTCCGGACCTTTTCTTTCGCCATCTTTGAGTGACTGTACACCGAGTTTGAAATGTCGGATCCATTTGGTGATTGTACTGTAAGCAGGGCTATTATTGCCCAACCTGTCCACCATCCGACGATGAATTTCGTTCGGGTCTTGTGTGGACAAAAACTCATAATAAATTATGACACGTTTGTGTTCCTCCGATAACTCCATTGGTATCACCGAAAAACTTCCGACCAGACCTCTTTAAATGGTTATATCTTATACACGACTAGAGATAATTAGATGAAAATCACAGGTTAAGGGTTTGATATGTAAACAATCAAAACCACGTGTCAACCAATTTTTTATATTATACCGTTTAGGTGGCGCTATCTTCCCAAAAGACAAGCTGTATATAAATAGGCAGTCAATTAATCTTGCGTCGCGTAATTTTTGAATTACTTTTGAACGATTAGAGATAATTTAATTCTGTAAAATACATTTAAGAATATCATATCGACCACACTTAATATACACGCAATAACAAAACTAGAGTGGCCAGATATACATAATATCTGGACCAACAAAATATACTATGCTACAGGTCAAACTACAACTGACAAATTTATTATGACAATGAAAATTTGTAGTCAAGAAATAATAGTTTAATATAAAAAAAGAATCATCAAAATCGGATTGGTAGTTTTATTTTTATGTTTTATTAAGCTTATCATAAATCATATTATATAAAAGTCTAAAATAAAAATGACGTTATTTATTACTTGTATATATCTATTAGATGAACTTTTCAATTATATTATTAAATCTAAAAACAAAATTTTAATATATCGACTATTTTTCGAAATAAACGAATTATAATATAATATAATTTATAATTGAATTGTAATTTCATATTATAATTTATATTGAAATTTAATTATTTTGAAAACTAGTCGACATTAAAATTTTGTTTTTAGAATTAGTAATAAAATTAAAAAATTAATCTGTGATATAAAAATCATTAAGCGCTTCCAGTGTAATCAATTAATATATAAAGTTAATTTTAACATTATAATTATTATATACTGTATTTTTATGTATTCACACTATTATAAACCTAACTATTGTTTAATCTAAATTTATTAATATTAATTATGTTTAAAGTAATTTTAACTAAATATTATATTTAATCATATAAATTATATATTGACATGTTTTGATAAATCTAAAGTAACTAAATCATTAATTGTTTAATATATTGTAATTATAAAGACGTAATTATAATAAACTTTAATATAAAAAAATATCTTATTATAATTATCAATAAATTAAGTCCAGGCTATCAATAACTAGTCTAGGAAGGACTTTAAAAACATGTAGACTGACTACTTATTAATAGTTATGTTAGCCTTAAGTGAATTGACAATAAATAATGAAATTCTGATAACTCGGATGTGTCTATTGTTAATCAGGTAAAAGGCTGAATACTAATACCGATATATAGCGCAGTTACTAATGACCCGAGCCCCGAATGGGCCATTCATATATACTGTGGCGTAATAGATAAACATATCCAAAAATACCGCACTCTTAAATGGTTTTCTAAATAGTAACCTATTCATAAATTACGTCATAGTTCCCTATCACATACCCCGCATTGTTTATTGCTTTGTAAAGTCTATTTTAAGGTCATTTTGACGGTATTTCTATCAGCCCGAACCGTCACAAATCTAATAAAAATATACAAGTCATAAACAACGTTTTTTTTATTTTAGACTATTTTATATAATATGATTTATGACAAACTTAACAAACCATAAAGATAAAACTACCAATCAGATTTTGATGTTTTTTATATTAAACTATTATTTCTTGACTACAAATTTTCATTGTCATAATAAATGTCAGTTGTAGTTTGACCTGTAGCAGTGTATTTTGTTGGTCCAGATATTTTGTATATCTGGTCACTCTAGTTTTGTTATTGCGTGTATATTAAGTGTGGTCGATATGATATGCTTAAATGTATTTTACAGAATTAAATTATCTCTAACCGTTCAAAAGTTATTCAAATATTACGCAACGCAACAATTAATTGACCGACTCCTTATATATATAATTGTAATATATATATATATATATTAAAATATTAATATCAAAAACTTATACTTTCTAGCATTATCAACTAGCTTAAAATAAACAAAATAATACATACGATAGCAGGCCATGTCGTTGACCTGGCATAGATTTGTAGACATCTTCAACTCGTGAGTTGATGGTATTATCAAGAAAATCGTTGCGACCAATTGTTTGACAGGCAATCTGTAACGCGTCAAGTATATTGTCGCTGTATATACCGTTTTCTCTGTACTAATATTTTTATTTAAAAATAATAATAATAATATTTACAACAATCAGTATTAAAAGTGTGGATAACTTTTTGTTTGTTTGTTTTTGTATGATTCAGGTCAGAGACAGCGTATCTATGGATCAAATGCAACGAATAGGCTGAGCGCTAGCGATAGAAAACCAATGGAAACGGACAGTTCATATTCAACGACATACCATTCCTCAGCAGCGATTGATCAGTCAAAGACAACATCGACAGCGACAGCTATAACCAAACCCTTCCTAAATCATAATAATAGTCATAGTATTGAGGGCTCGGATGTCAAACATTTTACTAATTATGACTCTATACGAGGCATTTCTGATTAAAAAATGTTTTTTTCATTATTATTATTAAGTATTTTGCTATTGTTTCGTTACATTTGATTAACAAAAACAAAAAAAAATTAATCTCAATTATGATAATCTGATTATTTATTACTAGTACTACTACTACTACTACTACTACTACAGTATAGTTCATAAATCTGACCGATTTTGGCCATTTAAACTCCCGAAAATGCATAACTATAGTAATCACTTAAGTATATAACTAATAGAAATATACAATCAATAAATATTAATTATTTATTTTGTTGTATATCTTAAAGCACTTTTGGATGTTTGTTATGGCGTTGGCCTACAAATTGCTAAATACCCGAACATAACAAACACTACTGAGTGCGGTATCGGTCGTGAGTCGCAACTTATGAACGACCGGTGCTTTGAATGGCATACCAGTCGTGATTTGATGTCTTCATCTATAGTCAACGGTAGAGAAGCACAAAGGGCTGAGTTTCCATACATTGTGTACATCGAGAGATGGGACAGAAAGGATACGAATGGGAAGATCGAGGAAAAGAAAATGGGGTCAGACTTTGTATTTGTAATCACTTTGACCGCACAGTTAGCTATGTTTTATGCTTAATATATTACTTTCAATAGTCACTGTACGGGAAGTATTATTAACGAGAACTGGATATTAACGGCAACAATATGAATGTATGTGTGTGTGTGTGTGTGTGTGTGTGTGTGTGTGTGTGTGTGTGTGTATGTGTTATACTGTATATATATAATAATAATTACTATGAATTCATAAGAGACTAATTTGAATTTTTTCGGTTCACCAAAATGTTTGTCGGTCCTAATGATTGGCATTTTAATGTCCTCGAGTTCGCTGGGAACACTAGACGCCCCTCCTGCCTCAAGGTCAGATCTGGTTAAGGTTTCGCCCGATTGGCTTGACTTGGGATTCAGTTGTCTTAGTTTTCTTCGGTTAAAATAAAATTGGCCGACAACTGCAACAACAAAATGTTAAAAAAAAATAATTTTTTTAATTAAATTAAATTATATATACTGTATTAATTATATCAGGGTTAAGCAAGATTTTGGATTTTAGGGGGGGGGATGTATAACTGTAAACATTAATTATTATTTAAATATTAATTATGTTAAAAGTTAAAAATTATTAAAATATTAAAAATAACTCATAGTGTATCATTAATGCTTTTATCAACTATTTTTAAATTTTAAATACATTATTTTTTTTGGTTAAAATTTAAATTTTTATTTATTTTTCCAGAATTTTGTAGATTTCACCCCGGTCTACCCTCCCCCCCCCTAAAATCCAAAACCTTGCTTAATCCTGATATATATATATAAATACTGTAATACGTACGGCACATGATAGCCAAAACTAGACTACAACCTAAGACAACGATGATTACTCCTTTGTAATCAAAAAAACTATTTGCTATTGTTGTTGTTGTTGTCGGTAGAGTTGTTATTGTTCGGGTAGTATTGCCGGTAGCCATAGTCTCGGCAATAACTATTTAATTAAAAAAATTAATAATTAGTTATTAATTTTTTATAATAATTACCGGTAATAATAATAATAATACAAACAAACCCGAAAACATTATGGCAGCGATAAAAGCCTTTCTAGTGGACAGTTGTGAAACCGCCGATTGACTTATTATCTGGCTTTCCGCCGCCGCCGATGCTTTCCGATTGACCTGTATTTCCAATGTTTTAGCTTTTTTTCGTTCGACCATAACTTCTTTGTTTTGATGATAGATATCGAGGGAACCGGTAAACCCCTTGTGTTGGAGTACATCCGTGAAAAAAAACTGTGTAATTACCGAATAGAATGACCGAAGTTCGACATAACCGCGTCGGCAAAATTCAACGATTCGTTTAGACGAATCAAATTGGTTTCAATGGTGTGGAAGTCTTGTTTGATACGACGAAACTGTTGACTCAAATCTTTGTATTGGCGATAGATTTGTTCCTTATTGCCGATAGTGGTCTCCTGTTCGGCCAGAAATTGTTGCAACTGTCGGATCTCGATCTGTACGGTCTTCGATGATCGTCGAGTTCGTACGGGTTGACCAGTTTTGGCCAGTGCTTGGCGTTCGAAAACTTCATATTCGGACTCTTTGACTGCCAATTTAGTTTCCTCTTCAGTATTCAGCGATTCCGTATCGGCGACCTTCTTCTGGAACTCGTTCAGAGCTGTCTGATGCGTACAGATATCGCTTTTGCATTTTTCTAGACTTTCTTTCAGCGGATGACGTGAAGCCAACAGATCTTCGTATTCGGTTTTTCTCAGTCGATATTCGTCATCGAGTTCTTGATATTGATTCGAAAGCCTGTCTTTTTCATCCTTAGTCTCTTCGACACATAAATCCAATTCAGATTTCTTATGACTGCTTTGTTGTAACGATTCCTCCAATGTTGACACTTTGACTGGCGGCGAATCGCCAATCGATTCCAGTCGCTGAAGTTCCGACTGCTGATCGACTAAATCACGTCTGGTCTGACGTTTTTGTTGTTCAATTCGCGACAATTCTTCTCTTTTAGCGGTAATTTCCTGACGATTTCGATTAACCAGTTCCTGAACGCCGCGCTCTTTACGACACAAATCGTCGATTTCAACGCTAAACCGTTGTATCATTTCATCAACACTTTTGACCAATACTTTAACCGATTGGCGATTATTGTTGGCATATGTTTTGAAATCTTGATCCTCGGTTTGCGGATACATAACAGCGCCGTCCTCTGTATACGTTTGGAAACAATTATCGGGTGGTGAGGTCAACATCAGATCGCGGGCAACATTATAGTCGGGTACGTATAGTACGATACGGCTGACCAGTTCGGAAAACTGTGGCCCGAAATGACTCAGTCGATCATTACGCGAACCTTTCAAACGTTTGCCGTCGATCATCGATTTCAGTTGACGATCGTCTTGCGTATGCCGAAGACCTTCTTCGGTCAATTGTTGAACCGTTTCGTTAAACTCTTGAATACTGTCGACCAGTGACTGCTCTTTAATGTTTAATTCGTCGATATTTTCCCTCAATTTCTGTATATCTAACTTACGTTTCGTATGACTTTCATTACTGTTGACCAAAAAAAAATAAATTATCGGTAAATGTCTGATACAAAAAAATCATAAATACCTGTATTGTTGTTCAAGTTCTTCGATTTTCAGTTGCAATGCCTTAATATCATTGTTTATACTAATAATATCGGTTCTCAGTCCACGATCTCGGGCCTCAGTCGCCTGAAGTTCTTCTTTGATGGCCTGAAGACGCCGTTTGTATTCATCTTTTACTTCGTTTGCTTTATTCGTATTTTCAAACAAACTATTAGACTGTTCCATACATTCGGTCTCTTTTCGCCGCAATTCATCCAATCGTTCAGTCGATTCGGTCAACTTCTTCTGTTCGGCTGCCAATCGTTTGTCCAATTTTTCCACTTCTTTACGAACCAAATCAACCGATTGTTTTTGTTCGTAAACCAGTGACCAAATGGCTTCGTTGTTCAACTGAAGAAACTTTTCCCTCTGATTCTCCAATTGATTAAACAATTTAACTTTTCGTTCCAAATCCCCGATGTCTTTGGCTGTCATCGGTATTATCTTTTTCTTGTCCATCAGTTTCTGTTCCGACAACAGTCGTTGTTCTTCACTGTTTGCGTAATCATTCTTCATATCTTCGAGTAGTGTCGCCCGCATAAAGAACTGGTATTTGTCTCTCGAGTTTTTTGTATTCAGAAAATTACGGGAAACTTCCTGATTCAGTACACATATCGGATTGTCCACTTGAATGTTAAAATACCGGATAATATCGTTCAACGCATCCCGACCTTCGGCTACCACACGGCCATCGCTTGACTTGAGTTTATAACTCGACGACGCAGACAACGATATCGATCTCTCGATTATTATCGACTGTCCATAGAGTTACCACAAGAGCACCAATAGAGTGGTCAAATGAGATCATTTTATTGTTTCTTTTGATTGAAATAATCGTATAAATTGATGTCCCATATGTCCTGAACAAGAGGTGAACAAGAGCACCAATAGAGTGGTCAAATGAGATCATTTTATTGCTTCGTTTGATTGAAATAATCGTATAAATTGATGTCCCATATGTCCTGAACAAGAGGTGAACAAGAGCACCAATAGAGTTGTCAAATGAGATCATTTTATTGCTTCGTTTGATTGAAATAATCGTATAAATTGATGTCCCATATGTCCTGAACAATAGGTGAACGAGAGCACCAATAGAGTGGTCAAATGAGAACATTTTAATGTTTCTTTTGATTAAAATAATCGTATAAATTGATGTCCCATATGTCCTGAACAAGAGGTGAACAAGAGCACCAATAGAGTGGTCAAATGAGATCATTTTATTGTCTCTTTTGATTGAAATAATCGTATAAATTGATGTCCCATATGTCCTGAACAAGAGGTGAACAAGAGCACCAATAGAGTTGTCAAATGAGATCATTTTATTGCTTCGTTTGATTGAAATAATCGTATAAATTGATGTCCCATATGTCCTGAACAAGAGGTGAACAAGACCTCCAATAGAGTGGTCAAATGAGATCATTTTAGTGGTTCGTTTTAATTGAAATAATCGTATAAATTGATGTCCCATATGTCCTGAACAAGAGGTGAACAAGAGCACCAATAGAGTGGTCAAATGAGATCATTTTATTGATTCTTTTGATTGAAATAATCGTATAAATTGATGTCCCATATGTCCTGAACATGAGGTGAACGAGAGCACCAATAGAGTGGTCAAATGAGAACATTTTAATGTTTCTTTTGATTAAAATAATCGTATAAATTGATGTCCCATATGTCCTGAACATGAGGTGAACGAGAGCACCAATAGAGTGGTCAAATGAGAACATTTTAATGTTTCTTTTGATTAAAATAATCGTATAAATTGATKTCCCATATGTCCCGAACAAGAGGTGAACAAGAACACCAATAGAGTGGTCAAATGAGATCATTTTATTGTCTCTTTTGATTGAAATAATCGTATAAATTGATGTCCCATATGTCTTGAACAAGAGGTGAACAAGAGCACCAATAGAGTGGTCAAATGAGATCATTTTATTGCTTCGTTTGATTGAAATAATCGTATAAATTGATGTCCCATATGTCCTGAACATGAGGTGAACAAGAGCACCAATAGAGTGGTCAAATGAGATCATTTTATTGCTTCGTTTGATTGAAATAATCGTATAAATTGATGTCCCATATGTCCTGAACAAGAGGTGAACAAGACCTCCAATATAGTGGTCAATTAGCTTTCTTTTATTGCTTCATTTGATAGAAATWATCGTATAAATTGATGTCCCATATGTCCTGAACAAGAGGTGAACAAGAGCACCAATAGAGTGGTCAAATGAGATCATTTTATTGTTTCTTTTGATTGAAATAATCGTATAAATTGATGTCCCATATGTCCTGAACAAGAGGTGAACAAGAGCACCAATAGAGTGGTCAAATGAGATCATTTTATTGTCTCTTTTGATTGAAATAATCGTATAAATTGATGTCCCATATGTCTTGAACAAGAGGTGAACAAGAGCACCAATAGAGTGGTCAAATGAGATCATTTTATTGCTTCGTTTGATTGAAATAATCGTATAAATTGATGTCCCATATGTCCTGAACAAGAGGTGAACAAAAGCACCAATAGAGAGGTCAAATGAGATCATTTTATTGCTTCGTTTGATTGAAATAATCGTATAAATGATGTCCCATATGTCCTGAACAAGAGGTGAACAAGAGCACCAATAGAGTGGTCAAATGAGATCATTTTATTGCTTCGTTTGATTGAAATAATCGTATAAATTGATGTCCCATATGTCCTGAACAAGAGGTGAACAAGACCTCCAATAGAGTGGTCAAATGAGATCATTTTAGTGGTTCGTTTTAATTGAAATAATCGTATAAATTGATGTCCCATATGTCCTGAACAAGAGGTGAACAAGACCTGCAATATAGTGGTCAATTAGCTTTCTTTTATTGCTTCATTTGATAGAAATAATCGTATAAATTGATGTCCCATATGTCCTGAACAAGAGGTGAACAAGAGCACCAATAGAGTTGTCAAATGAGATCATTTTATTGCTTCGTTTGATTGAAATAATCGTATAAATTGATGTCCCATATGTCCTGAACAAGAGGTGAACAAGAGCACCAATAGAGTTGTCAAATGAGATCATTTTATTGCTTCGTTTGATTGAAATAATCGTATAAATTGATGTCCCATATGTCCTGAACAAGAGGTGAACAAGAGCACCAATAGAGTTGTCAAATGAGATCATTTTATTGCTTCGTTTGATTGAAATAATCGTATAAATTGATGTCCCATATGTCCTGAACAAGAGGTGAACAAGAGCACCAATAGAGTTGTCAAATGAGATCATTTTATTGCTTCGTTTGATTGAAATAATCGTATAAATTGATGTCCCATATGTCCTGAACATGAGGTGAACAAGAGCACCAATAGAGTGGTCAAATGAGATCATTTTATTGCTTCGTTTGATTGAAATAATCGTATAAATTGATGTCCCATATGTCCTGAACATGAGGTGAACAAGAGCACCAATAGAGTGGTCAAATGAGATCATTTTATTGCTTCGTTTGATTGAAATAATCGTATAAATTGATGTCCCATATGTCCTGAACAAGAGGTGAACAAGAGCACCAATAGAGTTGTCAAATGAGATCATTTTATTGCTTCGTTTGATTGAAATAATCGTATAAATTGATGTCCCATATGTCCTGAACAAGAGGTGAACAAGAGCACCAATAGAGTTGTCAAATGAGATCATTTTATTGCTTCGTTTGATTGAAATAATCGTATAAATTGATGTCCCATATGTCCTGAACATGAGGTGAACAAGAGCACCAATAGAGTGGTCAAATGAGATCATTTTATTGCTTCGTTTGATTGAAATAATCGTATAAATTGATGTCCCATATGTCCTGAACATGAGGTGAACAAGAGCACCAATAGAGTGGTCAAATGAGATCATTTTATTGCTTCGTTTGATTGAAATAATCAAATGAGATCATTTTATTGCTTCGTTTGATTGAAATATAA